TTCTACCCAAACTTCATTTTGCATAGATGTGTTAAATGTCACAATTATTCAGCATTCCTGCTCTTAATTGTGTGAGTGAGAGGATATTAGGTACAGATGCAACTGATGCTGATAGAAATTACAGAGAGAATCCAGGCAGTGGTGTGGCACAGCTCAGTGATAGAAAGCTTAGCTAGCTTGCACGAAGCCCTGGACTTGATCTCCATTGTCACAAACAATACATAATCTAATACTTAACTTGAGTCCTGCCAAGTGGCCTCATTGGGCCTGGTGAAAGAGTGGAGCTGGTGCATAGATAAAGGAACAGGGTGGTGGGAGGCAGCTGAAGCACAGAAGATGCTGAGGAAAGAAAGGGAGGAACTTGTTGACATATTACAAGTCTGGGAGATGGGACTTAAGAAACCCTTCCGTGCCTCTTGGAATAGTTGGAAAATACTTTAAAGATTCTTGTTCCTCAAATGGAAGAAGTCTGTGGCATTTGAAAATTGAAGAGTGTCTTGTAATATTCATGCCTACAAATCTCAGCCATGTAGGAGGCTTTCATAGTCAGGGTAAGAGAGAGTTAAGAAGTTTGTTCCAATCATCTTTCATGTTTTGATGTAGTACTGTTGACCTTTTCCAGAAAAGACCTTGTAGGGGTGTTAGAAAGAGCCAGAGCATTAGCTGAAAATTCTAAACAGTACTGCCCCCTTGTCGAAAGTCATTGCTGTGGAAAGAGAGATGGCATTTCTCCGTGCTATTTCCACACTTGAGACCTCCCTCTCTCACATCTACATAATTTTTATGAACTCTAGTGTATTGATTCCTTCTATTAACTACCTTTATGCTATGTCTAGTCTTCCCCACTCCAATATTAAGTAAATATTGTTCTTTTTTTCTGATTCTTCTCAGGTTTTGACTTTTACATTTAAATCTTTTATTTTTGGTGTGAGGTAGGGATCTATTTTTTTTTTTCCCTTCCAAATAGTCAGTCATTTACAGTTATCTCAACATCATCTTATTGAATGTGTCAATGTTTCCCCACTGATTTTTGATATCTACCTTCAAATCCTACTTTCAAACAGACAGTACTCTCATATATCATACCTGATCAGACCTCATTCATCCTGAATTTGGCCTTCTACATTCTAGGCAGTTAAGGTTTGGGCCCTATGCAAAGTATCCTCTGGCCCTCCTGTGGCTCCATTCAGCAGCATTGCCATCTTTTTCTATCCAACAGATTCTGTAATTATTTAAGCATTTTTTAAATTTTGCTCAAGTTTGATAAAAAAATTAAGGAGAAAAGGGAGAAAAATCAAAGTGTTGGTTAACAAAAATGAGCCTTATAAGTTTAAGTATAGAACATTTAAGATATAGAAATCATTTAGGTTACCAAAAAAAAAAAAAAAGTGGCAAGCCTTTCTCAACCTGATGCTTATTGGACTCAGTCTGGTTAGCTTGGATTATGAATGTGAGAGAGAAAAGCCAAATTAAGAAACATAAACACAGTTGTGGAAATGAGTAGTCTAAGATTATCTAAGTAGGAAAGGCAATCTCCAGGCTGAAATGATTACAATGGTAACATAAAGATGACTAATAACCTTCTCGAGCAAAACTGGGCAAAGGACACAGCTGCTCTGGTGTATACTCTTCTTTTCTGTGCTCATGATTTACCTCTAAGTGTGGCACATCCATAAGAAATGTTCTGTGGTCAAAGCCTATCTTAACACTAAAAAGTAAAACTGAAAATAACACAAAAGGTAAAAAAGAAAAAAAACCCACTGAGTTATTTTTCAGTCTAGTTCCATATGTCAGTAGCATCTAACCTTTTTCGACCCCTGTATGCAAACCATCATCATGTCCTGTTGAATTTTACTTTTCTTCCCTTCATCTATCACCATCACCACTCTGGTCCAGGATTCCTCATCTCATGCCTGAACCATGTAGTAGGCTCATGATTAGTCTCACCACATTCATGCTTGTCTTCTGTCAGTCCATTGTCTATGCTGCACCCAGAATGATCTTTAAAAAATGCTAAGTCTGATTATGTGAGCCCCATCTCCAATTCAAACCCATATTGGTAGTCAAATTGTTTGCATGGTGGCCACTGTCTTTCATGTGACCCACCTCAATTTTCATCATGGTTTCCCTCTCCCTGGCCTGCCTCCAGTCTCTTCTCCTTCCTACCTTGAGAGTTGTCTGGAATAAACACTTCCCCTAGTCCCAGAATTAATTCCCACGATCTGTAGATATCTGGTAAGCCTTTCCTGTCCTCAGATAAGGTCATGCCCCAGTTTGCTCTTATGACACTTGATTGTCATGTGTCCTTCCTTCATAACCCTTGTCACTGAAGCATGTAGTCACACTTACATGATTATTTGATTAGTGTCTGCTTCCTTCACGGGATTCACTGAACTGAAATCCCCTCATGTGCCAGAACCACATCAATTCTTTTTTACTGTATTCCTAGTGACTAGCCCAAAGGAAATTCCCAATAAATATTTGCTGAATGTTGTTCTTTTTTAAAAAATTCTTTTTCTAGGGTTTTGAGATGTAATGTTAGGTAATTGTTGATTTTTTTATTCTTTTTTAGTTATTTATTCTAATTAGGTATATATGACAGCAGAATGAATTTTGATTCATTGTACACAGTTGCAGCACAACTTTTCATTTCTCTGGTTGTACACGATGTAGCATCGCACCATATGTGCAGTCACACATGTGTACATTACCTAGGGTAATGATGTCCATCTCATTCCACCATCTTTCCTGTCCCCATTCCACCTCTGAATGTTGTTCTTATGTCCCTTTTGGCAGTCTTGTCTGACAAATAAGATTTCATCAAGAATTTGTTTAAATTTTAAGATAGATAACATTGGCTCCAAATATTTTGATTTTCATTTTTTTAAATATATTTTTTAGTGTACAAAAAATTGTTATCTATCTTAAAATTGTACATGGACACAATACCTTTGTTTAATTAATTTATTTATTTATATGTGGTGCTGAGGATCGAACCCAATGCCTCACATGTGCTAGGCAATTACTCTACCATGAGCTAAAGCCCCAGCCCCTTGATTTTTATTTATAGATTTAATGTGCCTATAATATTAATAAATGTCTTTCAGTAGAATATTGTCTTTTGCTTCAAAGTGGTCTTTTCATTCTCTCACTTAGAATCTGAATCTTCAGAATTGCATAGGCTAAAAATCTTAGAAAATGATAAGATTTATCAGTGTACATTTCTGTTTAATTGTGTGCCTACAACTTTGTATACATAGATAATACTAAATATGTTTGTTGACCCTTATTATTATATATTATTCTCATTTGAACATTCTGTATCCACAATATACAGTTCAGGAAGGAAAGGGGAAAAAAATCATCTATCACACTACTACTCAAACTCACATTTTGGTGGATTTTAGTGTGTGTGTGTTATTTGTTTCCCTGCAGTGCTGGGGATCAAACCTAGGGTCTTGCACATGCTAGGCAAGTACTCTACTACTGAGCTACATCCCCAGGCCATCTTTTCGTTTTTTATTGTACATTATTAGCATTGCCATAATCACAATATATATGAAAATTTATGTCCTGCTTTTTCCCCATAAATAACTTACAGTTGATTGATCAAAGTATTATATTCTGTATGACATTGTAGATAAGCCTAATTCATTCAGTGCAATTTAGTAAATATTTATGAGGAAATACACTGTGCTAGTACCATTCCATACATCTAACACCTTTCAGAGAAAATACACAGGTTTGGTACTTTGACTCTATAGCAACAGAATACTGTAGTTAGGAAGCATTTAGAGACATTTTTACTGCACAGATATATTTTGTAGCATCTTCTGTCCTTCCTCAAAGCAGGAGTAAGTATTCGTTTAATAGCTTCTTCATTTATTCAACAAATTGATTATGGATCACCCCCACACCAGGCACTCGTCTATGTACTGGAGATTCAGCAGTGAATAAAAATCCCTGTGTTGGGAGAACACAGTGCAACAAGAATGAATGAATCAATGAGTCAGGTGATAAGTAGAGAAAGAAAAATAGTAGGGTAAAAGGGATGAATAATGGCAGGTGGGAGGGGCTGCTCCTTTCTAAGGTCAGGGAATGCCTCTCTGGATGGTGACATTTGAGCAGACACCTAAATGGAATGAGGAGTGAGCTGTGCAGCTGTCAAAGGGTAGTATTTTTCCTGGCAGAGGGATCATCAGGTACAAAAGCCCTGAGGTTTTCAAGGAATAGCAAGGAGCCAGAGTGAGAAGGTAGATAAGAGTCGAAGTCAGTTCGGGGTGAGGCCTCTGGCTTTTCCTCTGAGATGGGAAGTAGCAGAATAGTGACTTGGTCTGACTCATGCTTTAATAGACTACTTCATTCTCTAGTCTTCTATGTTCCTCCTCAGAGGCCTTTTAGTTCCCACCTTCATCACCCTCTGTATGCATGACCTTAAGCCATAGCTTATAGACTTTCTTTTAGACAAATGCATGGTGTACTTATAGCATGAAGGGCTTATTCCGTGTACCTACATGTGCAGGTAGATAATTAGCCACACTCTATGGTGTCACAGGATCAGAGTTGATTATCACTGTTCTAAGGAACTAGGCCCATTCCACATATTTAAAGAACTACCTTAACATTTCATTTCTTGATCTTTTGCTCACTTGAGGCAATTGCAACTCACTGAAAATAATGACCAAATGTGTTTTTCAAATTGCATATAAAAACTTAACCTAGTAGGGCTTACTGTCAGCCTATAATTATTAAGCATGCTTCAACCTCTGACAATCTAGAATCCAGCTTTATTTTTTTTTTAATGTTTTATTTGTTGGTCGGTATGGGCGGAGGGAGTCTAATTATAATCTTCCTTGAATTGCTTTATGGTTAGATCTGTCACATGCCAAAGTTAGATCCCATTAGCAGGCTTAAAACATTTATTTCTGAAAGAACAAACTGTTATACTGTTACATGTTGCTTAGGGTAATTGATTTCTTTTGTTTTCTTTCTTGTTACAGGAGGAGACATCACAGCTTTCCCAGATTGGGAGAAAAAATATGGAATGTGTTTTACTGCTGACTGAACACAACCAAATGAACTGTACTGACAGTAGTTTGAAAACCAGCAGTTAGCAGTTTGTTCAGACTCTAACACTGTCCAGCACTTTCCAGAGCAAACTCACTGTTTACAAGAACTCTCGGCCTTACGAAGTTTATAACCTCAAGCTTTGTTTATTTAAAATATTTCTGCGAAAGAAAAGTACCCGAAGCCTATTTTCCAAAATGGCCATGGATGAGTATTTGTGGATGGTCATTTTGGGTTTTATTATAGCTTTCATCTTGGCATTTTCTGTTGGTGCAAATGATGTTGCCAATTCATTCGGTACCGCCGTAGGCTCTGGTGTGGTGACCTTGAAGCAGGCATGCATTTTGGCTTCAATATTTGAAACCACCGGCTCTGTGTTGCTGGGGGCCAAAGTAGGAGAGACTATTCGAAAAGGTATCATTGACGTGAACCTATACAACGATACCGTAGAAACACTTATGGCTGGGGAAGTTAGCGCAATGGTTGGTAAGTAGCATAAGTCTTTACACCAATGAGTGATGTGTCCACTGGCCTATTTCCCTACTACAACTCTCTCCATATCCATAAGTGTGATTTTTGGTTTAACTTTTCAAAAACTGATCTGATGTTTCATATTTACAATTCGATTGCTTCTCACTTTCTGCATTTAATTTGGTTGTGATTTTTTGAAGCATTTATTTTCTCAAATTATTAGCAGTCTTGATGGTTACAATAAATTTCATATAGGTGAATACTTCTCACAAAGTTGAAAAATATAGAGTAGCTCTTCATTGTTTTGGAGTTATTTAAAAGTTATGAAAGAAATAATATTATCTAAATGTGTTTTCAAAGTTTACCTATGAAATTTCCTTGAAGGTTGATTTATGGTTTTACTTAGGATGTAGCGTTTTGAAATGTGACTGTCAAAAAATATATGCATATATAAATTAGAGGGCTAGAGGTGTGGCTCATTGGTAGAGCACTTGCCTATCATGGGCAAGGCCCTGGCTTCCATCCCCAGCATTGGGAAAACAAACAACAGCAACAAAACCAACACTCATGGGGCTGAGTGAGAATGTAGCTCAGTGGCAGAATACATGTTTAGTATGCACAAGGCCCTGGGTTGAATTCTCAGAACCAAAAATTAAACAGATAATATTTATTATTTTAACTCTTGTGTTCTTCATTTAAGTTCTAGTGCCATTACCAAATGAATTTAAGTGGTTACATTTCAAGCAGTTCTGGTCTTTTTTGTTATCAGTAGTCCTTTTTTTTTTTTTTTTTTTTTGGCTCTTGTTTTGATTTTCTGCTTCTACCACTGGGAACAACTTTTGATACGTGTGTGGGTTTTTCTGGCCAAAACATAATTTGTATGTCACCTGCGTATACTATGGCCTTTTATTTGTAGTTTTCAGTTGTCTAGATGAAGGAAAGAATTGAGCTGAGTGAACTGTGTTGATGTGCAAATAAACTGGTTGGTCAATGTGATTTCTCCCTTGCCCACAGTGACCGTAGCCTTGAAACACTATGGGGACACTTCCTTGCAATTTAAAGAAAAGTCCAGGCAGGAATACACTAAGTGCAGCTGACAGGACTCTTTCTCTGCTTGCCTCTAGGTAGAGATGACGTCACAGCAGACAGCTGATCTATACGGGTAATTTGGTTAGGGAGAAGAGGGTTAGAGAGGAATTCCACCACCTTCTGCTTTCAACAGGACATATCCTTTTGTAGGAAGAGTCCTGCAGTAGGAGGTAAGATGCTGGTGTACCAAGAACACAGCCACATTCCACAGGTCCCTAGTTATTTATGGTGTCACTAGCATTCCTTATGCACCTAGAATGTGGAGATTACTTGCCATATTGAAGGTCACCCACTGTCTTTCTTTATAACAAGTTACTTTTAGAAGTCATTGAAGGCATCTGACAGAAACAGACTGATATACTAAGATGTTCAATATTAAAAACACAGTAAGCTAAGAGGTTCTTATTTCTCAACATTTTGTATTGTAAAGATGTAAGTTTCTAGATTGCTTTAATTCCAACCACTATTTTAATTATTGAATTTTATTTACCTTCACTGAACAAGTATTTCTCAGCAGTCAGATATATTTGAAATTCCCTTAGAAAAATAACCATTATTTATAAAATTCATCCTTGGTAGTTATGATAAATATCTAAGATTTAATCACATCAAGCTGAATTTGAGATTTTTCTCAACAAGATAATGTGGACAAGATGCATTGAAAATATGGGAGAAATAGAAACACTGACAAAATTCAGTGGTAACTGAATTTTTTCTTCTTGTGAGGAAATTTTTGAGCAATGGTTGTTTATTAAAGAGATTATTAGTTACTGAGGCTACACTGAGGACTTAAGTTAGAAAGTTTTGCGAACTGAGCTTTATGTCACTACTAATTTTTTGTATAGTCAATATAACTTGTCCAATTTTTCATTTTTCCCACCCCTGGCCTTGGCTCTTTTCTGAAAGAATGAAGGATACTTACCTCAACTAGAATTTGGGTTTACCAAAGCAATTTGAGGTTTTGCTTCAATAATATGATTGTTTGCTTTGGTTTCTCTGTCTTTCTTTTCATTTTTTTTTTTTTTTTTTTCATGTGTGGTTAGTTGAATCTCAAAGCCTGTATTTGGGGTTGGGGGAGTTTATATGAATTACGTAGAATTTAAAAGTGGACCTCCTTGCAGAGGAGCTGTATAAATTTAAGATGGTAGTGTAATTATTATTGGCCAAAACCAAAGCTAATTTTGTTCAGAAGTCCAGATTCTTCTAGTCTTCCTCTTTTTAAATTCTTCCTTCAGTTTTTTCTTCTCCCTCTCTCTCCCTGACCTTTTATTCTGTTCTATGATGTTCTCTTTTTTTCCTTAGTAAATTCTCCCCCCATCCATGGGCCTCTGTTTTTTCTGATAGAGTTGTGTTAGAGTTGGGTTGGTTGGTAGAAGAAATTGTTGGTGCCCCTCAACTTTCTGAATAAGTTATCTTCTGACACTCAGATCTAAAGCAATTATCTATCCACTTTGTATGAAACCACCAACTGTTGCCAATACCTACTGAGAATTCTTCTCATAGCAATACCCATGTTGGCACAAACTATTTCCTTCAACCGCCATAAGAAGCATACAGACCCCTTATAGCCACTCAGCATCCAGGGCTGCCAAGCCCTGCCCAGTCCCTGCTTATCCTTCACCTCCTGTTTCTACTCTGTGCACCGCTTTTACCCATGCCTATCTCCACTGTGACCCTCAACCTTTGCTATTTCTTTCATCTTTGCAGGAGCCTACTGCCTCAAAGATGCCTGACTCCCCCTTTTCCCTAGGCTTTCTTACACTTTATCCCATAGTTAATCCCATTCTTCTTTGTAGGATATTATTATCTTACATTAAAAATCTCTCTTTCCCCCTGGATGTGAATGTAATCCCATTTACCTTCAGCTATTCCTAAGGTTTAGGAGGCCCCTGCTCACTACCAGGTCCCCGAGCCAGTCCTGTCTCTGTTTGCCCCTCCTTACAGCTGTTCCTTTATTCTTCCCCACTCTCTCTCTCTTTTTTTCCTTCATCCCCTTGCAGGCAGTTCCCACCCCCTTACCTTTCCTTACAAACTCTCCTCCAGGACATATATTACAAAGTCAGCCAGAGAAAGGAAAGCGGTTTTCAGGAAGGAAAATCTTGTCTGAATGCAGTGGGGTGAGTTTATACCATTCTCTTACATCCCTAGATTTAAGTAATGGTTCTGGCTATGAAACATGCTCCGAACTCTAGCTTTATTTTTAGAACAACTTAGTCCCTGCAGAATCCAGGGCTCAGATATGAAGCTTAAGGAATTGTCCTCAGGGAAGCCTAGGTGCTGCCATGGAGCCTGCTACCAGCTTGGCAGCACAAAGCTGGCCCCTTCTTCTCCCAACACATGATTCAGGGGTAGACACAGGGTCACAGCCAGCCTCGGCTCAAAGGTCAGCACGCCTGGCCCTCACTGGAGCAGCTGTCCATGTTGCCTCACAAACTGGGACCTGTGCAGCCATAAATGACCCTTCTGTAACTTGAATGTCTTTGAAGAAAATGCCAGGGGTCCGCTTAAAGGTGCTGCTGCTGCCAAGCAACTAGGCTTCCAGAATTAACATTTGGGATTAATAATGTACCCAGCTTATCTGCCAGACTCTTGATTCCTGTACAGTTCTGTACAGGCTTTTCAACAACTGCTTCTGAAAGCGATCTCTCCCAGCTGATGCTTTTAATACTCACTGCAAAATCTGATCTGCTTATGAAAATATCTCAAGTGAACTGTAGCCTAGAAAAACATTTAAGCCTAGGAAAGTGGTGGAATGGAAGGAAAGGACACAAAGCTACAGTAAGGGCTCCCAAACACACCAAGCAGGATCTGAAAGCAGACGCCCAACTCTGGGTTAAATATCACAGTTATTTTTCATATGAGAGAGAGAAAAAAAATGTTTAATGTGGTAATTTCCACTCTTTTACAGACTAATGTGGCATAGACAATATTTAGCACTCCTCATAATGTGACTACAAGGCATAACTGTAACAAAACTTTTCCCCAGTGTGTTGCCTTTCTTATCTTTCTATGTGTGGTAGAGTCTTTAATCTCTTGCTGATTTTGACCAAACTTCACGCCAAAACAAGTTCATCATTGGCATATTCACCCTCACATGACAAAGGCAAGTGATAACTGGCATCAGGAGACTTGTCTTTAAATACATAGTCGTCATAATCTCTTCCATGTTGAAGAAGGGATAGTCCTTCCTTCAAGGTAATTGAGCAATTTTTGTCTGGTCGTCAGCACTTTATAAAAAAGTAATCCATAGAAAATTAAGCTCGGGGGGGGGGCTGGAGTTGTAGCTCAGTGGTAGAGCACTTGTCTGGCATGTGTGAGACCCTGGGTTCAATCCTCAGCACCACATATAAATAAATAAAATAAAAGATCCATTGACAACTAAAAAATATTTTTTAAAAAAAGAAAAGAAAATTAAACTCAGGGAAATGTTGTTATAGAGAATAATAATTTGGACTTCTTACCTTGGTGGCTAAGACTGTACTATGTGTCTGATTTTATTTCATTTTTATCTTTCAATTCACAGGTTCAGCTGTTTGGCAGCTGATTGCATCCTTCCTGAGACTTCCAATCTCAGGAACTCATTGCATTGTTGGTTCAACCATAGGATTCTCACTTGTTGCAATTGGTACAAAAGGTGTGCAGTGGATGGAACTTGTCAAGATTGGTAATTGCCATTTTCTTTTACCTATAAGAAGGAAAGTTTACCTTTTCTAGAGTAAGTTTTATTACAAGTTACTTTATATTTTTCCCTTCAAATGTTAAGATTTAGAAGACCTGTATGGTATGAGTAATGCTTTCCCCCTTAGAATTTCTGTTAAAGGAGATTGTGAACTGTTAGACAGTTTTAAACTCCATTCTTTTAAAATTTTACATTGTCATTCAGCTTTGAAAATCAATATTTATTTGTTCTTCCCAGGCAGAAATTTATTTGATTGAAGTCTATCTAAAGGTCAGAGAAAGACTAGGCCGGAAGTAAAGAAAATGGCATTGAATCCAGGAGCTCATGGTTATGGGAAGGCAAATGAAGCCAGTGTTATTAACCTCCCTGCAGTCAAGACATTGTCCAGTCTGCCCCCTAGGGAGGAAGCATTGTAGTGTTCCTTGGAGGTTATAGGTGTGCTGAGCAGGGACCAAAACAGGCCAACCCTCATTCCAAGAGTAGTAACAGTTTATTTCCTGGCTATGCTTTTTACACAAGGTAAATCCACTCAACCTCATGCACATCAACCCACCCATAGTGAAAAAGGCTCTTTTGCCCCATCGCCATCCTCTGTGTTGCTCATTCTTCTACCAGAATCACCAGGTTAATCAGGTCTCTGAGCTGCCCATCAGAAACACAAGCCACCAGGAAAATTACCTTATATCTGAGTGGTCATCAATTAGCTACACTTTAGAACTACCTAGAAAAGTGATTTTAAAATACCACCCAGACCTCATTCCAAACCTTTCAGATCAATCAAATTTTTGGAAGTAGAGTTAAGAGCATAAGTGGTTTTTAAAAACTCCCCAGATAGTTTCAGTGTGCCACCAGAGCTAGGAATCTAATGGAAGGTGGCAACCTTTAAAAAAAAAAAAACCTTACTGTTGGAACAAGTATAGGACCTGCAGGTGAAAGGGCTCAGTGGGAATCAAAGGAATCTGTCTTCTGAGGCTAGTGCTTGGGGGACAGCTACTCCACTGAGCTGATAGTGTAATCTGTTATGTGCCACTTTGTGTCTGAATGAAGCAATATACCGAGTCAGGAAGGCTTGCTGGGTTCTGAGTTGAGTAAACTATTCTGGTGATATTTATTACTGTATATAACCTATATTGTTATATACAATGTCATATTATAAAAATATGACCACAATCATGTATGAATTTTAACATTCATTAGACTCTTTTTTAATCATTTAGTTGCCTCTTGGTTTATATCTCCACTGTTGTCTGGTTTCATGTCTGGCGTGCTGTTTGTACTGATCAGAATGTTCATCTTAAAAAAGGTAAGTGAGGCTGGTTTTGTTTTTATTAAATTTTAGGACTAATTTTGGCTCACTATCAATAGAAATTGATAGTGAGAAGGGGGTATGAGGGAGAATTGTATATTTTCATTGTTAAGGTACAGCACTCCAGAGTTAGTCTGACATTATCTTAAGTGGCCAGAATGAGCCAAGGTCGAGTATCCAATGAATCCCCCAGAAAGTAGCACCTCCAGTATTGTTTTGGGGAATTTTGATTTAGTTCATTAGTTAATACTCCCAGGAATTGTGCTCAGACCTTAAAAAAGAAAGGTAATTATTTCCTGAATGTTAAGCAGAACAGAATGAGATATTAAGATTTTGAAATTGATTGTCATTAAAAACATCTGGAGATTTCCTAAAGATATTTTCCTATTTTTTAAAAATGGAGATATCAAGATTGAGATACTAACTTAATTTGAGGGAAAGATGCAAAAAAAGAAAATATGCCTACATGGTGTGCATTTTTTCTGAAAAATAAAATAAGATTAGAATTTAGATTAGTATTCTGGAGAGAAACTCAGTTGTCATTTTTTAATTTGACTATCAAAGGGTTATTGCAATATGTTTCTTTTTTATATTTCATTTTTAAAATACACATATAATGTTTATACTTATTTGTGGGGTACAGTTTGATAGATAGATCCAATATATAATGATCAAATCAGAAAAATTAGCATTTCCATGTCCTCACATTTTATTATTTCTATGTATTGGGGACCTTCAAACTATTCTCCTCTAGTTATTTTGAAATGTATAAAATGAATTGATATAGACTATATTAACCTTTTGTGCTATATAACATTAGAATTATATGTTAGTCAGCTGTCACTGTGACAAAGTACCTGAGATAAACAACTTATAGGGAGGAAAGGTTTATTTTGGCTCATAGTTTCAGAGGTTTGAGTCCATCGTCACTTGATCCTGTTGCTTTGGGCCCATGAAGACCCAGTGCATCATGGCAGGGAGCACAATGAATGAAACCTATTCACTCTATTGTGATTGGGGAAGCAAAAAGAGAGGAAGAATAAGGACCAGGGTCCTAATATTCCCTTTAGATGCATACCCCCACTGACCTAAATTCTTCCTCTAGGCTCCACCTCCTGAAAGTTCCATCACCTCCCATTAGTGCCATGTGCTGGGGACCAAACACATGGGCCTTTAGGAGCTATTCAGTATCCAAACTATAGCAAGTTACTTCCCCCATTGAACTATATTTTGGTACTCATTATCCACCATCTCTATTCCTCCTTCCTACCTCCTTCCTGCCCTCTGGTGGCCTCCATTCTACTTTCTAGTTTGGTTATTAACTCTCACAGCTTCCACAAATGAGTAAGAACTTACAATGTTTTTTGTTTTTTTTTTTTTTTTTTTTTCTGTGCCTGGCTTATTTCACTTAACATAACATCCTTCAGTTCCATCCATAATAACCACAAATGACAGGATTTCATCCTTTTTATGGCTAGATATCTTCTATTTTGTGGAAGAGACACATTTTTAAAAAACTGCTCATCTCTTCTTGGACATCTTGGTTGAATCGTTACAATGTTTTTGTAAGCAATAAAGCACCTTTTTGTGTTGCACTGTAGTCTTCCTTTTTTTATAGTTTTGCTTTCTATTGTTTTAGCTACCCATGACCAACCATTGTCTGAAAATATTAATTGGAAAATTCCCAAAATAAATAATTCAGAAGCTTTACATTGCATGCCAATTTGAGTATTGTGATAAAATTTCCCACCACCCTGCTCCCATTTTAGCTAGGATGTGAATCATCCTTTTTCTAGTATATCCATTCTGTGTATATTACCTGCCCTCTAGTCATTTAGCCATTTCAATGATCAGTTCTATTGTGGCAGTATCATAATGCTTGTATTCAAGTAACTCTTAGGTACAAACTTAATGCTATGTCACCATGCCTACATCATTCACCTCACTCCATCTCATTATGTAAGCATTATATTATCTCACATCATCACAGGATGAGTATAATAAATATTTTGAGAGAGCACATTCGTATAAGTTTTCATTGAATTTTTGTGATTGTTCTATTTTATTAGTAGTTATTATTGTTAATCTTACTTGCCTTATTTATAAGTTGAACTCTATTACAGGTATGTATGTACAGGAAAAACAGTACATGGGGATTGGGTACCGCCCTCAGTTTCAGGCCTCTACTGAGGATCTTGGAACATATTCTATGGGGACCAGGGAGGACACCCACAGCATACTCTTATGCTTGAGCCATCCCAGCATATCAAGGACATGCCTTTTTTCAGCTATATATTGTTTGAAAATACAGCTCTTTTCTTTTAGCATTTTCTAGTGGTGTATTAAAGAGCTCATTCTCTTAAATAAGTACAAACTTGCCATCATCATTTCTCACCATTCCTTTTCCTGGGCTTGGAGCAGCTACTCTAATATTTGTTTACATCTTGGAAGGTGCTAGTCTGTCTTGCCTGCCAGCCTTCACCCTTTTTATTTCCTCTGCCTGGAATCCATCCTTGCCTGGCAAACTCCTACTCAACCTTCAGGTGACACTTCCTAGGAAGCCTCTCCTACACCAGTTTCTGGTTGGTTACTTCTTAGTCTTCTTCCCACAACACCAAATATGGATGAGATAGATGCTTGGTTGGCAGGGGTAGGGAGAGATGATGAGTAAATAGATGAAAGGGAGAGAGGGAGGGAGAGAGAAAGAGAAAGGGAAGAAATGAGACAGGTCTAATGAGACATTTGTCATTTGAATTTTAAGAGTAGGTTTTTGGAGCTGGGGCTATAGCTCAGTGGTAGAGTACTTGCCTAGCATGAGTGGGGCCCTCTGTTCCATCCCCAGCACTGAAAAAAAATAGAGAGTAGGTTATTTGGGAAAACATGAAGTGATTCAGTTAAAAAACTCAGACTTGGGCTGGGGATATGGCTCAAGCGGTAGTGTGCTCACCTGGCATGCGTGCGGCCCAGGTTCGATCCTCAGCACCACATACAAACAAAGATGTTGTCTCCGCCGAAAACTAAAAAATAAATATTAAAAAATTTCTCTCTCTCTCTCTGTCTTAAAAAAAAAAAAAACAAAAACAAAAAAAAATACCTCAGACTTGGGACTTTCCACCTTTCCAGGTTGTTGATCTGTAGTCTTTCTATAGACAGCTATTATTCCTAAGAAAATAATGCTTTGGAAACCAGATACAGTCAGCATCTGAGCACCCCAGTGTTTTGTGTTTGTGTTTAGTCCAATCTGCATTCTTTTCATGTGTCACCTCACAGGTTGGAATGCTGGCTGTCTCTCTCTCACCCCTTGTTCCAACCCATTTGTCTTAGCATTCACGTCTCTTGTGCCCATCCCTGCCTAAACTGGCTGTAGCGCTCTCCTGCAATTGCATCACTTTCTGCCTGCCCCTGCTCTTACATGCCTGAAGTCTCACTGCCAGTCAACACAAGCCTCTTGACAAGTGCTGAAGGCTACTTGAGCCATCCCAGAATAGGTCCTTAATGAGTTGTACTGTTTCTCAAACATGCTTGATTTCCATACGTGTTTGCATTTTGTCGTTGGCATCTCTAAGAGAGCCTCTATTTATTCATATCTTGATAGCACATTTCAATTTTTAGACTTAACTTTCTTTTTATCTTGGTAGATGGAATACTTATATAAATATGCAAGAACATCTCATGTGGTTATTAGAAATCAGTTTCTTTTTGAAATAATTAAGCAATACCTGTGTGCCAATGCTGTGTTGTGGAGTTCTTGGCCATATTATTGCTTCAAAATCCTCTGTAGATCTGCTTAAAACTAAATTTATAGTAGTTTCTGAGATATGATTTAACCTCAAACATGTGTGATACCATTCTTGTTGATGTATTAAATTGAGGGAATGTCATAACAGAAAGCTAAAGTTTTAAATAAATGTTTTATTAGACAAAGAGCCATAATTCTTTTTACTTTTGATAGTTGAAGGTTAAATATTATACCTTATGAAAAGATTTTGGAAAAGTACTGGTGTTATAAAGTCATGTAAAATCTAATAGTAATACAATAATCCATAAGTCATTTGACTTAAAGAGGTGTTAGAGTCTCAAAATATTTATCAAATGTAGACTTTTAGGGGCAAAGCTCCATAGGTTTCAGAGAAGTAGTTGCTGAGCTCTGGGCTTTGGTTCCCCAGGCACTGACCTCCCTCAACAGTTCTTTTCTGTTTCTAAATCTGACATCAGCTCATGTGACTGTAGTGCTTTAATGTGTCTGCTGGCCACAATAGTGGGCTCTTTGAAAGTGCATTTGTGTAGAAGAGATGGCCCCAGCTGATGCCATTCCTGTGGATGTGCAGTGGAACACATGTAGTAACACACCAGCCTTTTTGGCCACAGTGGGGTTTAGGGTACTTTCTTGTAACATTGTCTTGTGTCATTTTTCTGGTGTTGCCTCCAGAAGCTCTGGAGTCCTGACCTCCCACTTTATCTCATTATTCCACAGGAGGACCCTGTTCCCAATGGCCTCCGGGCACTTCCACTGTTCTATGCTGCTACTATAGCAATAAATGTCTTTTCCATCATGTACACAGGAGCACCAGGTAAGAATTCTCTGGAAACTTAGATCCAGCCGTCAAGGTGCATTCTATTTCTAGCAATGTTGATTTACTTGGTGTTTCATTATTGCTGGCTGACATTATTGATGGTCATTTTGGAGTAGTGAAAAGAGCAGTAAATGCATTTACTGTTCTAAATACCTAAGGGATGCATGAACTACAAATGCAACAGGCTTTCCAGTTTAAATTTTTAAAAAGTAAATAAATAAATCCCCATTCTGCCATTTATCCAACTGTGGGTAAATGAAAGTTCAGAGCAGCTTACTGAACTTCTCTGAGTCTCAGAACCTGATCTGATAGCACGTAACTACTGAGCAGTGAAGGGTCAGGGAAGGGAGGTGGAAATCCTAGTGCTACACAGGCGCGTGGTGAGTAGCAGCCACCCAGCCATCTACAGTGCAGTGGCAGAAGCAGTCCATAGATGCAGATGTGGAACAACCTGGAAATTGTCAGCTTAATTAGTCTAACCAATACAAGCCAATACTGAAACCAGTGATGATTTTCTCTTCAGAATTACTCTTTTTGGTTTGGAGTTTGGGGGGAAGGGAACAGTTAAAAATTCTTTTCTTTTACATTCTGAATAGTAAAAGAAAGAAACTCATGTAGAATATTCTAATGTGCACACATTTCAATGTTGATGAATGGGTAATGTCCTATTAAATGTTTCTGTATATGCTGGGTGCAGTGATGTACTAGTAGTCCTAGTTACTTGGAAGACTGGGGCAAGAGGATCATTTGAGCCCATGCATTCTAGGCCACCCTGGGCAATGCAGCGAGACCCCCAAGACCCCAACTGGGATAAGAAAGAAAAAAATCTCTGTACATATTTGGTAAAGAGAATTCACCCTCTGTTTCTTTTTATGAGATGTGTCTCAAACAACCAGATTCTGAATACACACAATTTTGTGGGGATATATGAAGTCAATATATATGTGAATTTACATCATATTTCATCTTCTTAATGTCATGGATATGATTTAGTTTTTGGCTACATCTGACAGAAAAGTCTCCTCTACTCAGAAGATAAAATTTCTGTTAAATGGCACATTGTGCTATAACTGAAAAGTGCCATCTTCCAAAATGAGGGGAATGCCTCACAAGTTTCTCAAATTAGGTTTTCTTGATGTAATTTTCCCTGATTTTATTTTATGAAATTATATTTTGTTTACTTCAGTACTCAAAAATTGTTTTAAAATGATTCTTAACATTTTATAACCTTTTACTTTGCCATCTCTGTCGCATTCAAAAACATTGATCTTAAAGATTTGATACTTAACATTATTGAGACTTCAGACTCTGGGTGACTTCAGCAAGGGAGAGGGAGGCATCATAGCTACTTTAAGTTACACCAAAAGCACAAAGCTGAAGATGAGAGTAAGGACACAGGTGAAATCCTCACCTCAATCACAGTAGCCTGCTATCTCTTCAGGTGTTATCATTCATGGACTATGAACACTATTTGCCACAGACTTTCCAAAGTGTCCCATGATTAAATTAAAAAGAAAATCAGAGGCAAAGAAAAGGCAGTTCCATATGCTGGAGTTAAACCCTTCTACCAAGTGTGTGCTTTCTAGGTGCCTGGAAGGCTCAGGAATGCCATACTGGAAGTAACATGTGGCAAAGAGACATCTTTGTAATCTTGCCCATGAGTCCTTGTTCTTAATTTCATGAAGGCTCTTAGAGCTCGAATAGCTGAACAAAAAGCAAAGCAGCTCTCTGTGCATGGGGCACAGAGAGCCCATGTGTGTGGGGGTTCCCAACAGACACACAAAAAAGAGAGAGAAAGGAGAGAGACTGAGCTAATAAAAGTTGAGGATGCCTTTTGTAACACCAAGTCCTGGAAATGAGAATTGGTATAAATAAGATAATTTCATTTTGTTTCTTTTTTTTTTTTCTTTTTTTCAGTTTTTTTTTTTTTTATTGGTTGTTCAAAACATTACAAAGCTCATGATATATCATCTTTCATACATTTGACTCAATTGGGTTATGAACTCCCATTTTTACCCCAAATACAAATTGCAGAATCACATCGGTTACACACTCACATTTTTTTCATTTTGTTTCTGTATGTTTTTTCACTCTCTATTGTTGCTTCCTGTTGTTTTTTTCAAATGTCAGAATACAAATGTGTGATTCCTTCTAAATTTTGGCTTAATATATACTTTATATATACTGTCTTTAATTTTTTTTATTTTCCCCTACTATTTTACATTTTTATTTGTACATTTGCTAAAAGAAACATCTTACTGAGAGAGTAAACTAATCTATGGAAAATTAAACTATATGATGGATGAGACACAAAAGACAATACACATACTTCACAGGGTTATTGTGAGAAATAGATAACATAAATGCATTGAGTTGAGTTTTACATGAATTAATCCTTCCAGTCCTCTCAGCTCCTCTAGAGGATTGTTGATGTTGCCAACCCCACCTGTGCTGGGAGAGAGGCACAGCAATGCTGCATTCGCTAGATCATATAACTAGTAAGATGCAGGACCAGAATTTGAACAAGACTAGTCTTGAACCCTATGGTCTTTGTTGTGACATTATGTAGATACATGAGATAGCTGAAGGAAAGTACTTATAAGTATGTATAGCATTACTGATAATGACAATAAAAATTGCATCAACCTTAGCAAATTCTTCCTCTTAACTCTCTTGAAAACATGCCTTCCAATATATTTAAGGACCTGGGTATAAATTTTTTATATACTTTATATACCCGGTATTGTGAAGAAGGTTGCCACCTCCTTAATTAGAAATATTTTAAAAATCTAAAAATGATGTTGAAGATTATCATTCAATTGAAATACAGACAATATTCCCAGTCGTAAAGTTCCTGGTACATGTATGGGATAGGCAGCTGTTCTATAAGGAACGTAACATCTCAACTCCCTAAGTCCCATTCCTTATTGTAAAGTAGGGACAGTAGTAGTAGCTCCATTAAAGAGACACTGTGGTTCCTGAGATAATGTGGGCAGGGCATGTAGCATGGCACCTAATGCATAACTCACTTTTAATCATGTTAGAGACTCTTTTATTACCATCAGTCATTATTAGCCTCATTTTCTCAATTGTTAACAGCAAATCCTGAGTCATCCTATTTTCTATTTTTCCTGGATATATTTGTGGAACCTTTTACCTGAAGTTTTCCAGGGTTGCTGGGTAGAGGGGATGTTACCTGGAGGAGAAAGGAGAAGTTTATGACCCTGAAGGACCAATCGTTTTGTTCGTCCATTAAGTCATAAAAGAACTTTGCTAATATTTTGGTCCCTGGGGAATGTTCCTAGAATATCCAATAGGTGGGCCAAATCTTATTTTTATTTAAGCACTGAAGGTTATTATTTACCCTTCAAACTAGACTTTAATTACATACTCCTTCCTCATTTGCGGGGTCTCAACTTGTCCAGCTGTATCATAAGTAGCCATGACGACATACTTGGTAATAAGCTTGAGCAGAGAGTCATTTTAACAGTGACTGAGTTGATCCATTCCTCTCAACATACATCTGCCCTTCTAGAATTTATTCCTCTTGGTTCTTTTTCTTTCTTAGTTTCACATAATACACAGAAGCATCAGAGATAAAAGAATTAAATTCTCTTAAGAAAAATGAGTGACAGCATTAATCTTACCCAGTTTTACCATTAAGAGATTTTGAAAAATAGCATTTGTATTCATGGAGATGAATCAAATGGGGATTTGTTGGATGTTGAGTTATAGTGTTTTGTTTTGATTTCCTCTGTTCCTCCACTCTAAATTATTAAGTTGTTTATATCTTCGGCTTAGTTTGATTTGTTTTACTTTGCATCTGACATGACTTATCTCAAATAAAAGTCATTCTTACACTTCAGAGACTGAGTGTATACTTTTAAAAAATTGCCTTTGCATTTTTGTTCTTTAAAAAAATGATTAGGAAGAACCAAAAATAACTTTAGGAAATGAAGTGCTTTCTTGGATTGGATTCAAGCATGACGTTTTTAATTGAAAAAAGTCTTTAGTTGTGTGGCACCTGGTTTTTGTTCAATGTTTAGACAGTTCATGCTGAAATTCATTGCATGCCTCTTTGAGTAGACAAAGCAGATCACCTCATTAAGCCCTGGTAGTTACATATGACTTCTAAGTCAAAGTGAGGTTCCTAGACCAGCCACATCAGCAGCACTTGGTGACATGTCAGAACTACTCTGGCCCAGCCCTGATACAGAACTGCAAGTACTTCAGCCCAACAACACATGTTTCAGCAGGGAGCCCTCCAGTGATGCTGATGCATTTACAGTTGGAGAACCACAGCACTAATTACCTCTTGGACCACGAACAGTGCTACCTTATTACAGTTCTTAGATAATGAGGGTTCTTTAAAGTTCTAACAGCAATCTTCCCTTACCCTCCTTTTTAGTCAGCAAATGAATTCTCAAACATAACCAAGCCTGGTTTCTGGCTTCCCCAGAGCAAGCCTATACCTGAGGTGTGGCTGCCTCTGCCACTGCCCCTCCTTCCATTTCCTCTTCCATCTCCATCCCCTTCTTTCTCCTTTTTCTCCTCTATCCCTTCCTCCTTTTTGCTTTTTCTTCCTCTTCTCCACTGCCATCTCCTTTGCTTCTTTCTCCCCTCCTCCTCTTCCTTCTGGTCTAGTCCCAAGGAAATCAGAACATCAACAACCCCTGAGGCCCCTAGTTGTCTTTGTAAGAAGGAGCTTTGTTCTCCATGGGTCTCTGTATTCCAAGTTGTGATTGTAAAGTGCAAACTGTGGAGAGGCAGGAATTGGAACTGTAGTAATTCCTAGTCCTGGTTCAGGAAAGCACTAGAGTGAGAAAAGTTTCCAGTTACCACCAAGGGATGGATTCAAAAGTTAAGGATTTAAATTCACTTCCTTTCGAGAATTATTACAAATGACCCCTGGTTTGAGAAAGCTGGTACCATATTTTAAAATCCCAACGATAGAGCAAATTAGGAAATAGCATGTTTTATTTCAAAAGTGTGCTTAATTGTCTTTAAAAAGTTGTTCTAGGGGGCTAGGGTTGTAGCTCAGTGGTAGAGTGCTTGCCTTGCATGTGTGAGGCCCTGGGTTCAATCCTCAGCTCCACATTAAAAATAAATAAATAAAAATAAAGATATTGTGTACATCTACAACTAAAAAATGTTTTTAAAAAAGTTGTTCTAGGATTCTTTTTACAAAGGTAAAAGTAGTGCTTTGAAATGTTGATTAAAAACAAAACAAAACTGGTAACTTCAGTTTATCAGGAAAGGCAGGATAAGAAAGAGTGATAGTGCAAAGCAGGTCAGCCTGTGTTTATGCATACCTGTGTGTGTTACTGTGGAAAGATGGCCACAACATAGAACCATCTAGGAAATGAAAGCATAGAATAGTATATATTGAATAATCCTGTTACTTTTAAATTTTTTAAAAAAATGAAAAAAGAAATCCTCACGAACACAGTAGAATGTGTTTATATGTATCTAGAAAATGCCTGAAAAGACATGTACCAAATAGTCCCAGTTTCTGTAGGAAGAAATGGAGGCAAAGGGGAGGGTAATAGGGGAATTTCATATTGTACATCATACAATTTGGTAGACACTGAGGATATTTTGTATTAAGCATGTATTATATAAAAGTTAAAACCAAAGGCAAAATCTGTGCAGTTAATAAGAAGGAAGGCTGTAGGGAAGAGATGGTAAGGAGGGATAGAAGGGGACTGATATGAACTGCAGCCTTTTGGTTTCATATGATTTTGTTATTTTATAGATTCTTTAATGATTCTGTATGTGGAAAAACAGGAGGTATAGCAGAGGAATAACAATGGAGAGAGAGTTTTTATAAAATGTTCTACATCTTCCCTAAATGATTTGAATCTTCTGATATTTTGTGGATTTGGATTGGAATTGTAAAGATGCTTGAGGTTAGAGCTAAATCACTATTTGTCATATCTTTTTTGTTCAGAAAATGAGAGGCACCGGAGATGAAAGGCCATTTAGTGGCTAAAGTGGAGAACAGAGATTCAGAGCTCCCAGCTCTGGCTCCTGGCAGCCACTTTTGGCTGAGCGAACACGAGCAATTCAAGCTGTGCCCTACTTTGTCTATCCGCAGAGGGAATCAACGTGCCATGCCTCGTTGCCCTCTGAAGGTGTAATTATTTGGAAACAATATGAGACCCTCACCAGGAAGACAATCCAATACAGAGTGGTTTTGTTGCAGATTTTGTAGTATATAACTTAACCTTAAGTAGTTAGAAGAGAAAAAGTTTTGCCTTGGGTGTACATTGATTTGGGTGTTTTTCTATAATGAACTTTTATGCAGAATTGTTTTTTTTTTATTTTTTTCAGTTTTTTTATTTTTTTATATTTTTTTAGTTGTTGATAGATCTTTATTTTTTATTTATTTCTATGTGGTGCTGAGAATCGAAACCAGTGCCTCTCACATGCCAGGAAAGTGCATTACCACTGAGCCACAGCCCCAGCCCCCTGTTTTTTTAATAATCCATGAAACTCAATTTTATATGTTTAGTGTAGAGTGCGGATGTATAACATAAATAGCTATCAGCTTACATTTCTTACATGCAGGCTTTAAGAGTAATGGCTTGTTTCTTTCAATCCTCTCTTAAATTGCTAAATTCTTGGAACAATTTGGTAAGATCTCCATCCCCATTTGGTTCCTTTCTCCTTTCTTACTGTGAACAATTTTTCCCCTGTTTTCTTGGATTTGTTTACTTTGTCTCCCCACCTCTCCCACACTCAGATAGACTATGTCTATACCCTGCTTTCCATTCTAGATTTTCATGACCAGGAGGGTAACCTCAGAAGTTTCTGGCCCAGGTCAAATGGATAGCAAGGCAGATGTAATGATACAGAGGTACAAACTCAAGTGATACAGTGTCTTAGTGTTTAAGCAAAGGATCAAAGTCTTGAAATTGACCTCAGTTTCCCCTTTTGGCCCTGTCACCATTTAGGACCTCACATGTCCCTAATGGGAAGTGTAGAGATGGGCTTGAAGAAGCACAGGAAGCAGCCTTCTCTACTTTGGGGAGATAAGTAGAGAATAAAAAAAAAAAATAGGGCCTGATAGCAAAAGTGTTCACTCACCAAAAAAAATCAAGTAACTCAAATTGTTAGTCTTTCCCCCACAATATGTATGATTTCCCTCTCTTAGACCAGGCTAAGGCAATGAAGCCAAAAGTAACACACTTGACAGTTTTATCATCAACCAAACCACAGAAGAGAAAACCTCTTCCAAATCCAAATGCTTTGAAGCTGTAAGAATGTAGGTTTGCTGTTAGTTTATCAGTTTGACTTTGGTAAATGAACAGTTACCGCTCACTTGGGCAAGAAATAGCTGTGGAGTGATCCTTTGTTACAGTGTGAAGACAGTGACTTGCAGATATAAAACAGAAGCCAGGAAGCCATGGCCAGAAATAGAGCCCAGTGGAGTCAGCTCCTGTGGTTTTATGAGCAGCCCTGGGCTTCAGGTTCACGGGCAGAGCTGGAGTGGAACCAGCTGCCACTTAAAACAGTGCAGCCTGAGGATGGTGCTGAGTCCATAGCTGTCTGATGTCACCTGGAGTTTTAGAATGGAGTAGTCTAAGTGCCAACATTTCTACCAGTGGCACTCTAGCTGTAAAAAGACTAGGTAACTCTGTTGTTTTTCTAAAACATTTATACACATTAGTATAACTTCCCCCTGATATTATTGGCTACCCATTCTGTAACCTCTTACAGTTATCAAAATATTTAATAATGATTGAGCAGCGTGGAGCTGGTTTATTTATATAAAATAGTGAACAAGGTAACAAAGCCTGCATCATTAAAAAAAAATTTACTTATTTAAGAGCTAAGTTTTAAATAGGTCATTAATTTAAAATGTTTTAAAAACTACAAAGTGACATTCTTATTGTGGATTTTGGAAGTTGCCAGTATAAAAGTACATGTATCAAGAAGTTAAAGCCCCACACCAATTTCCCATTTCTCCATAGAAGAAACCATTGCATCTTTCCAGAACTTTTTCTGTGTGTTAGCATATATGTCAGGAGTTAGGAATTGGGTTTTTTTTTTTTTTTTCTGTTTTAAACATAAATTGAGTCACAACTGCACATTTATTATATAGCTGACTTCTATCACCTGGGCCTCTTTCCTTGTCAGTGTACCTCAGCCTGCCTTATTTTTATGACTGTGTACTGTGATTATTTTACATTTCCATGATGATGCATATATTAACTAATGCAAATTCTTACCATTACAAGTAAAACTATAGTAGGTCTATATATATGTGTGTGTGTGTGTTCATGGGTGAGCATGCTTAAGTTGTATACTTCATGAATGTGTCTGAGAGAAAATGGACAAAATCAGAGTGATGAGCTCTGAACACAAAACAGCACTGTGGAAAGATGACGTTCCTAAACCACGTTCACTTCCTCCCTCTTACTGATTAATATAATTACTGCTCAAAGTGCATTGCTAGACTTCAATGGAAAGTTTTTCTGTTATAATTCCATAGTTATGCTTGAAAGTCAATGTCCTTTGAACAACTTTTATTTCTAAGCTGATTTGTTAAAAAGGGTCGTATATGTAGTCAGAATGCCATGTGCATTAAAGCAGGGCTGCCGACTAATAAAGAACCAAAAAGGTAGCAACCCCAGAGCCGTGCAGCATCCACATTTCAGCTTCTTCCCGCTGGTAGAAATGGGCTGCCTGTCAGGATGGAAGGCAGATGACTCCTTCTTAGTCACATTTATCCACCCAGAAATTTAGATAGTGACATAACATGCAATTAATGGCTTTATTCCCAACTTAATATGCTGATTGTGCCAAATTGGTGATATTTTAGTAATCAATTTATTGACAGGTTAAAGTACATATTTACAAAGTATAGTGTCTTTAAAAATATGGCTTTCTATGCCCAAGAATACAGTATGTTTGGTTTGGTTTGGTTGAGAGTTTTATTAAATACACAGTCCAGTTGATTCATTTAAGATTGAGGGAATGGAAAACACAATGACAGTTGAGACTTGACCAATGACAACATTGCTCTTCATTTTTATTTCCCAGTGCTAGGTCTGGTTCTTCCCATCTGGGCAATAGCACTCATTTCCTTTGGTGTTGCTCTACTCTTCGCTCTTTTTGTATGGCTCTTTGTGTGTCCATGGATGCGGAGGAAAATAGCAGGTAAGCACTTTTTTATTTCTTTGGAATTACAAAAATTTCTCCCAATTCCTGTGATTTCCCATGTAACAAACAAGTATCCTCACAAATGGAGGAAATGGAAGTACAGTTAACTCCAGAACATACATTGGGATACAAGCCCAGTCTCGTGGCTCTTGGCTCCTGACTAATTTCTGGCTTAAACTTTTTCTTAGTAACTTGTGACTCAGGTGAGCAGGGGCTCTCATTGCCATTAGTAACAGGAAATAAACTATGCATCCAAGTTCTATCAGCCTGATGAAAATCAATACCCTTCAGGGAGATGCAAATTAATAACACGGGAGATATTACTTCCAACCCACAAGAATCAGTAAAAATTTGAAACAAACAAGTAATTCCAAGTGTTGGTGGAAATTCCAAGTGTTGGTGAGGAAATGAAATAACTGCAATTCTCATACACTTATGGCGAAATGTAAAGTAATTCAACCACTTTGAAAATTAGCTTAGCAGTTGTTTTATAAAGGTAACCATATACTTACCATATGACACAGAAGTTTCACTCCTAAGTAGTTATCCAAGAGAAATAAAGATGTAAGTTCATAAAAAGACATACTACATCTACATACAAATCTTTTAGTCATAATAGCCCCAAAATGGAAACAATCCAGTGTTCACCAGCAGGTAAGTGGTGTATATATTTGTATAATAGAAGACTACTTAGCAATAAGGAGAATTGAACACCATATAAGGAATTTCATAGATGTTATATTGAACAAAAGAAGCCAGATACAAAAGAATGCATATGCCATATGACTCCATGTTTCATAAACTCTGTAAGTTTACCTTAAGAAATTTTATGGATGTTTCCTTAAAATTCAAGTATAGTGAAAATGAAGAAATCACCAGTTGCCTGGGAGTTTGGAAATGATTTAAAGGGACACAAAGGAACTTTTCAGGAACATGGGAATATTTATTCATGTTTTAATTGGGGAAATGGTCATAGAATATGCTGATTTATTACAGATTATCCACCATTTAAAATATCTGGATTTTGCTAGGTGCATTGGCACATACCTGTAATCCTAGTGACTGGAGAGACTGAGGCAGGAGGATTGCAAGTTCAAAGCCAGTCTCAGCAACTTAATGAGGCCCTAAACAATGTAGTGAAACCTGTCTCAAAAAGGGCTGGGGATGTGGCTCAGTTGATAAAGGCCCCTGGGTTCAATCCTTGGTCCCCAAAATAGTTAATTAGATAGATAGTCAATCTGGATTTTATCATATGTAAATTATACCTAAAAAAAAACAATTTTAATCTGGGCATAGTTATCCCAGAGACTCTGGAGACTGAGGCAGGAAGCTTACAAGTTCGAGGCCAGCCTTAGCAACTTAGTGAGGCCCTAAGCAATTTAGCAAGATCCTGCCTCAAAATAAAAAATAAAAAAAAGCAAGAGATGCAGCTCAATGTAAAAACACCACAGGGTTCATCCCCAGTCAAAAAACAAAAAACTAAAAGAAGAACTACCTAAACTGTGGTTAGGCTGGTTATGTGACTCAATGGCTGGGTTTGGTCCCCAGCACCACAAGCAAAGGAAGGAAGGAAGGAGATAAAATATGCCTAGAAAATCAGTCAGGGTATTTTGCTATTATTACCAGCAACATAGTTGAATTTCAAACCTTGAAGCCACATGCTTTTATGGGGCTCACAAAAAGAGAGAGAAGTATTTAAATTTATTCCTAGAATGTGCCTTACAGTCATGTTTCAATATGGGCATATCTGAATTCGAAAATCCATGTTTCAAAAAAAATTAGATAATATGCAAGAGTCAGTACAGCAAAGATGTTGGTTCTTCTCAGATTGATCTACAGACTGAAATAATTAAAATAAAAATCCCAGGAGGATGTTTTGTTGATCTAGACAAGCTACTTTTAATATTTATATATAAGTTCAAAGAAACTAGAATAGCCAAAATAATTTCTGAAAAATTAGAATAAAGTTGGAGGATTCCTACTAACTGACTATAGGACTTATTGTCCTGTAGTCCCGTAGGCTATAGGAGCTCAGTGGTGAGCTATACCCCATTACTGGAAAGAAACGAAAAGAAGAAAAAAAAAAGACTTACTGTAAAGCTACATGACAGTGTGATTTATGAAGAGATAGACATGTAAATTAATGGAACAGAATACAATACAGAAATAGACCCACACAAATTTGGCAAATGAGTTCTTCACAAAGATTCAAAGGAAAAATATGCCTAGAAAATCAGTCAGGGAGAAGGGATAATCTTTTCAACAAATGGTATTGGAACTGTCAAATATCCATATGCCAAAATAAGAACTTTACCCTAAATCTTAAACCTTATAAAAATTAAGGGCTGGGGATGTGGCTCAAGCGGTAGCGTGCTTGCCTGTCATGCACGGGGCGCTGGGTTCAATCCTCAGCACCACATAAAAATAAAATAAAGATGTGTCCACCGAAAACTAAAAAATAAATATTAAAACATTCTCTCTCTCTCTCTCTCTCTCTCTCTCTCTCTCTCAAAAAAAAAAAAATTAACTCAAAAAGCACTGTATATATAAATGGAAAATAAAAAAATAAGACTTTGGTTGGAGAAAAACAGAAGGAAAACTTTTGTGATATTGGGTTAAGCAAGGGTTAACATATGACCCCTAAAACATGATCCATGTAAGAAGAAATTGATAAATTACACTTTACCAAGATGAGAAACTATTCTTTTCTTAGAAGTACTATTAAGAGAAGTTTCTTGTATTCATAATATATAAAGAAATTTCAGAAAACAAATAACTGAGTTAAAACAGCTAAATATTTGAGTAGGCACTTCACCAGAGAAGAGAGATGAATTGCAAATAAGCCCCTGACAAGGTGTTCAGCATCACTAACCATCAGGGAAATGAAATAACCATGAGATATCACTACACTCCTATTTGAATGGCATTTAAAAAAAAAAAAACTGACAATGCTAAACACTGATGAGGAAGAAGAACAGCTGGAACTCTCATATATTCCTGGTGGGAATGTAAAATGGCACAGGAAGACAATTGGGCAGTGTTTTTACAAAGTTAAAAATATATTTACCATAAATACCACTCCTGAGTAATTCCCCAGAGAAATGAAAACTTAAGTTCACACAAAAAAACTGTTCACAGCACCTTTATTTATATCACCAAAAGCTGGAAACAATCCAGAATATCCACAGAATGAATTAATAAATCTTGGTGCCCCCACACATTGGAATCCTACTCTCAACATTTGAAAGGAACAAACTGTCAATTTATGGGTGAATCGAAAGGCATTATGCTGAGTAAAAAGGAGCCAGTCTCAAAAAATGACATGTCATGATTTTATTTAGATGACCTTCTGAAGAAAGCAAAAGTGTCAGGTCAGAGACCAGATCACTGGTTGTCATCGTTACGATGGGGCAGAGGGTCTGACTACAGAGTTTTGGGGACAGTGGAACTTTCCATGTTCTGGTAATCACCACTACATACACAGTTCTATGTTTGTTTTAAAAGTCAGATTTATACAGACACATAATCAGATTAGTGCATGTAAATTTAAAAACTAATATTTTTTAAAATTCACATTAATGCATGCAACATCAAACTAATTAGTGAAACCATATCATTAATTAATTAAAACCCAGCTTCTTATTCCCATGGAGCTGCTTCCTGCCCTGTCCTATCGTGAGAATAAACATTCCCTTCTGCATTCACACAGACAATTATCCTGAGATGAGCCATTCTTACTCATGCTATTTGCCTGGTTTAATCTGTTGGAGTCATGAAATGTACATAAATGCTTTGATTTTTAAAATACTTTTCCTGATAACTAAACCTTAATGTCAAGACCTTAAAATCTTTGCTTTCCAGGTTTGGGCTGTAATGTCACAATAGGAAATTGATACTATTCCCATGCTAGCTTTCTACAAGGTTTTTATTTAATCAAATTTGTATATTTTGAGATTTCAGTACTTCAAAAAGTACTCAGTATTTAAAAAAAAAGAAATATTATTTTTATGTGTGTATTTTAAGTACAGATTAGTGATTAAGGGCATGGACCAGGACCACAGAGCTACTGACTGAATTTAAATCTTAGGGCAAAGGGGAAAAGGGAAGGGAGGGGGCATAGGATTAGGAAAGATGGTGGAATGCAATGGTCATCATTACCCTAAGTACGTGTGAGAAGACAAGAAGGATGTGACTCTATTTTGTGTACAACCAGAGATATGAAAAATTGTGCTCTAAATGTGTAATATGAATTGTAATGCATTCTGTTGTCATATATAACAAATCAAAATCTAAATAAATAAATAAATGTTAAATTTAAATGCCACTTACTATCTGTGTGAGCTGGCTGGGGCCAATGATTTAACCTCTCTGTGCCTCAGTTTGCTCACTAGCAAAATGAGAAAAAATAATAATACCTGTCATATAAATGTTAATTTTTGTTATAATATTTACAAATATTATCTTTCATCTAGATTATAAACAACTTAAGATGAGCAATCTTTATGTACTTTTTTTTTCTTTTTGCAGTGCTAGGGATAAAACCCAGAGCTTCAATATGACCCTGAGTCACACCTGCAGTCCTATGTATATTTTATATTTTTACATATGTGTTCCCTGTAAGGCATAACAAATTTAATTTAAAAAAAAAATCAATCTCTATAATCTGACTGTCTAGGTAGAGAGAAAGATAGATGATAGAGACAGATATGTGTAAGGGTGTCCAGAAGAGGAACTGAAAGTTCATTTTCATTTCATTTATGTAGGTGAGAGCTTAGCAATTTGCTCAAGATAATTATTAGCAGCAGCACCATGTATCAGATTTGATTAAAATAATACTTTTGAGCTTTAAAACAACTTCTTAAAATTTCATAGTTTATTTTTTGTTTCGTTTTATGTCGTCCAGGCTGGCCGCAAACCCCTGGACCCAAGCCATGCTCCTGCCTCAGCCTCCTGAGTAGCTGGGACTACAGGCATAGGCCACCACCCCCCTTCTTTGTTTCTTTTTAAAGTGAAGGATTTTTTTTTTTTTTAAGTAAGTAGGATCTTCCTATTCCTTTGAAGGAAAAATATTTTCTTGTTTCATAAAAATTGGTATGATAAAGAAATCTGAAACCAATAATTCATAGACCAGAAGAAAATAAAAAATGCTAGAACAATATCTGTGAAGACAGAAAGGATAAACTGGAAAATTTTAGTGATTCTGAGGTTAATTTAAGGAAATAGGAGGCCAGTCTAGATGATTGTGGATTTACAGAACATTGTCCCTGGGAGAGCTCTGGGTGATCAAATTTAACCCTCTCTTTTTTGTGGTTTTTAGATGTAGTAACTCAGGCCCTAAATACTCATCTTTTTCCTTAGTAGATAAATTTCCCGGCTAGAGTTTTACAGATAATTAAGCTTTTTACTTTATTTTCTCAGGCTAGCTGTACCTTATTTTCTCCCAAAGTAAGTGCTAAAGTATAGAGATATATTCACATTTTAATATTCACTTTTCAGTAACAGAATTCTCTTCCGAAAGTTGTAGTTATAATTCTATTTTCTCTAGGAAAATTACGGAAAGAGGGTGCTTTATCACGAGTATCTGAGGAAAGCCTCAATAAAGTCCAAGAAGCTGAGTCCCCTGTCTTCAAAGAGCTCCCAGGTGTCAAGGCAAATGATGACAGCACCGTCCCTCTAACAGGATCATCTGGGGAAGCATCTGGGGCCTCAGAAGGCACATCATCGGGGAACCACCCACGCGCCTCCTATGGTAAGACTCGCCTGCAGAACTTGGGGTTACCAGAGGTGCGAAGGCATTTCTCAGATGATCAGCCAGGCCTGCGTGAAGATCCAAAAGTTTTCTCCAATGTCATGAGTTTCAGTGTTGGTGCTAGAGTTGAACCCAAGGCTCCTCATGTACTAAGCCTGCACTTCACCCCTGTGCTACATCTCTAGTCCCTCAATTCTATGTTTTGAGAAAACCCAGAAGCTAAAGAGACCTCAGGAAGCCATTCCAGGCACCAGAGCAGGCTCTCTCCTGTCCTGTGATTTTCTTCCCAGAGCTATTATTCTTTTGTGAGGTGCCAAGGGCCCACCGCAGCCAGTGGCCGTGCTGCACTCACTCAGCTTACCTGCGCAAATCTTCCCCCAATGCTGAAGACTGGTTCACTCGGCTACTGTAGACGTCTTCCTCGGGGAAGACAAGAAGTGAAGGCTAAGGTTGGAATCCACGGACGTGGTCCTACCTAGAATCACAGAAACCTTAGAAACCACCCAGACCACCTGGGGTAACCTTTAGCCTTATAACCTGATGGACAGTGACTACTCAAGACTGTCCAGCCACTTCCCCTCCTGCAAGGTGGGCCCCCAGCACCTGCTTTCCATGGGTTTATTCTCAGGCACAGCTCAGAGAAAACAAATTGGTTTTGGTTTTTGTGTATGCCTCCTGCATGGTGAACATATGCTTTACCACTGAGCTATATTCCTAGTCCTCTAAAGGTGGAAAATTAATTTTGTCCTGCTGATCTGACACATACTGCCTCCCACTGTTAAGAAGCACATAGTACACTACCTATCTAATGTGAACTGCATTTTGCCTCATATAATTAAGGTTTTTTTTTCCTTTTCCATTTTTTTTTTTTCCTGTAGTACAGAGGTACTGAGGATTGGCCCAGGGGTACTTTACCCCTGAGCTATATCCCCAGATCTTTTTTTTCTTTCTCTTTAGACAGGGTGTTAGTAAGTTGCTGAGGCTGGCCTCAAACTTGTGACCCTCCTGCCTCAGCCTCCCTAGTCACTGGGATTATAAGTGTGCATCACCATACCCAGCGTCATGTATGAAGTTCTTCTAAAATTTCATATTAGAATTCTCCCTTTATAGATAGCTAGAAGCAGAAAAGAGTGCTGTATTTCTGGAAGATACTTTTTAAAAGAACTTATCATTTTGACATACTATGTTGTTAGTTCTGCCCTTTTGTTATATGCTTCCAAGTTTGTTTATATTTTTAATTTTAACCCTATTACCGTACTTTATAGTTAGAAAATGAAGCAAACAGAAAAGAATTAAAATTTTGTATAATCCAACCTTCCAGGACCAATGCCAGGAAATGGTAGGGAGTATTTCTTTGCAGACATGGTTTATATTCAAGATGCTAAAAAATAAAACATTTTGTTTGATTGGTGCCAGGGATGGAACCCAGAGCCTTTGCATATTAAGTGTGCTCTCTTACCACCGAGCTACACCTCTAGTCTTAAATAAAACTTTGTAAAATCCTTTTCAGGAAGGGCCCTTTCCATGACTCAAGGTTCTATAAAATCACCGATCTCCAATGGCACATTTGGCTTTGATGGCCACACAAGGAGTGACGGACATGTGTATCACACTGTACACAAAGACTCGGGGCTCTACAAAGACTTGCTGCACAAAATTCACATAGACAGGGGCCCCGAGGAGAAGCCTGCCCAGGAAAACAACTACAGGCTCCTGCGACGAAACAACAGTTACACATGCTACACCGCAGCCATTTGTGGGATGCCAGTTCACTCCACTTTCAAAGCTACTGACTCGTCCTCTGCCCCAGAAGATAGTGAGAAGCTGGTGGGTGACACTGTGTCCTATTCTAAAAAGAGACTTCGCTATGACAGCTACTCCAGCTATTGCAATGCAGTTGCGGAAGCTGAGATCGAGGCAGAGGAGGGTGGTGTGGAAATGAAACTAGCATCTGAGCTGACAGATCCTGGCCAGCCTCGAGAGGATCCTGCAGAAGAAGAAAAGGAAGAGAAGGACACTGCTGAGGTCCATCTCCTGTTCCATTTTCTGCAAGTTCTCACTGCCTGTTTTGGGTCCTTTGCTCATGGTGGCAATGATGTGAGGTAAGTGAAATGTTCATTTGTTTAATCAGTCTGTATTGAGGGTCTCTTGGGTTCCAGAATATAGCAGTAGACAACACAGACAAAAATCCCTCCTACTGGGGGGAGTGCACTAATAATAAACACAGGAGTGACATGCATAGTGCGCTAGATAGTGACGAAGGTTCAAAGAACAATCAAATAGAAAGGGGGAGCTGGTGAAGGGCTGCAGTGGTAGGTAAGTGTGCAGGGAAGAGTGTGTTGAGCCAGGTCTGAAGGAGGTGAGGGAGCCAGCCAGGTGAATGTCGTTGGAAGAGGGAACAGCAGGTGTAAAGGCCAAAGACAGAGAGTACTTGGGATACTCTAGGAAGATCAAGAGCTTTGAGAGAGGAGAGAGTGGAGACTGTATAGTCAGCAAGTAAGTCAGACCTGAAATATGTAGGGCCCCAGAGCACAGAAAAGAATTTCTATCTTCGGGGTGCAGATCCCAGTAGTGGGACCTGCAGTCCCAGCAACTCAGAAGACTGAGGCAGGCAGATAGCATTGAAACAGGGCTTGGGAGGTTTAACAGGAGTTTTCAAAGCAGAAAATGGGCACAGGCATTTACTTGGAGGAAATGTTATTATATATTTGGGCCCTCTTGCCTCAATTTTTCTCCCCTGTAAAATAAAAAAACCAGCTCCCAGAGTCCAGTGGCAATAACATGTCCGTCTTAGTTATTCCCAGTGACAACTGTGGTATCAGTGTTAGCACATGCAAAGGCATGGCGGATGTCACACAGGCTAGAGTCTGTGATGAGAGCCAGGTTGTACTCAGGAACTGCTGGCTTGTGGTCACACTGGAGCAGCAGCAGCCAGTGTCTGTGGCTCCAGAATCCCAGCGGGAGGCATTTAGGTGGGATTGTGCAGAGCCCTGGAGGCTGCCCAGAAGGGCTGCTGCGAGGGAGGGTCACTGGTACAGCAACAGTCCCCAGGAGTCCTTCCAGATTGGACTCTGGGTGGAAGGACAGTTGGACTACAAAGTCTGGGATAAATCAAGTAACTGAGCACTTTTCCTTCAGTGGCGTCTTGTGAGGAGGGTCAGCACCACCTGTGGTCTCTGAAGCCTTCCCCACTCTACATTTGCAGACTACATAGCTACCTGGTGTAACTTTAAATTATGGCTTTCAGTGTGATTATGTGGAGGCATTTCTTCCTGCAACAGAGGGAGTCAGGCTGGGGGAAGGTGTGGCCTCCTGCGCAGACTCCATTGGCTCAGCCCCTTTACTATGGAGGAGGCAGCAAAGCCTGCTAGAATCTAGGGGCCTCAACTTTGAGTCTTCATTCTCTTCTAGTTGTGTAGCCCTAGACAAGTCATATGCCTCCCCAAAGCCTCAGTTTCCCAATCTGTAAAATAGGGTCGAATTAGTTCCAAATTCGTAGGGTTTCCGTGAGGATGATGTAAGATTCTGGTATATCATGCTTATGACAGTTTTCCTCACATACTCAGCAACCAATCCATTGTCACCACTCCTATTATTATCATTAACATGCAGGGCTCGTGTTTTGGTCTGAATTAGGACACCATGCTGCCACTTTTTTTTACTGCCCAATTATTGACTTCTCTGTGGGTGCTGTACCTAGCCTATGTATACGAAACTTCACTTCTGTTCTTTTTAAAAGAAGTCTTGAAGCCAGACAAGCCTGGGCATCCTCTGCTCTGTTCAGTGTCTTCTGGGTGTTTCCATGTGATTTAATTTGGGGCTCCATGTTATGTCCTATCTTAACTTTTGTGTGCCCCTCACACCACTGCACTCCTCCTCATCTTTAAGAATTCTTCATTGAAGGTCTGGTACTGACAGAGTGTTATGAATTGGGCTCCTCACCTCTAGGAGATTAAGCTTTAGTTAGGGAGATTAGACAAACATATCTATGAAAAAGTAACAAACCACCCCAAAACAGTATTTCAAGTTCAGAGGAGGAATCCGGGTATTCAGCACTTTAGATGACCAGAGTTTGGAACAATTGCTTGCAATTTGGTTCTGGTTTTGAGACTTTGCGCAGGATGCCTCCCGATCACAGCCAGGTTCTAGAAACAATAAACTAACCATGAAAGAGGCTTCTATTCATTCAAGAAAAGTTTGCAATAGGCTTCAATACTGAACCATTTCTAACGTATTCTAATCCTTTTCAAAACAACCCTTTGAGCCAGGTAAGCAATACCTTCAAAGACACCGAGATCACATAGCTAAAAAGAAGCAGATTTGAGAGCCAGTTCTTTGTGACTCTCAGCTTATACTCTGCACAGCTGGACTGCAGGAGGAAACTAGAGCTAGCAAAGCCATTAAAATCCCACATGTGCTGGGCATGGTGGCACACACTTGTAATCCCAGTGGCTCAGGAGACTGTGGCAGGAGGATCACAGGTTCAAAGACAACCTCAGCAACTGAGCAAGGCACTAAGCAACTCAGTGAAACCCCATCTCTAAATAAAATATTCTTTAAAAGGGCTGGGGATTGGCTCAGTGGTTAAGCAATCCTGGGTTAAATCCCCAGTACCCAAAAACAAACAACATGTCAGTTCTCTGCGGGGCTGCCTAAGGCCCGAGGGGCAATAGCCTGTCTCAAGAAAGCGTTCGAGTGCCTGAGTGAGCCTGAATTCATGCCTCAGTCCTTCTTCGTGCCAGCAACTTGACCTTGGCCTTGGTTTCCTCATCAGGAAAAAGAAAGTGACAGTGCCTAGTTTGCAGGGGGGGTTGCATGAATTCATGGTGAGCAATAATATTTGTGATTTCATCGTATGGAACCAGACAGATCTACCAAACCAGGAGCTAGTATTAGTAGCAGTAGCAGATGTGGCAGTGGAAATGGAAAGAAATCTGGGGGAAAAAAAGAAGAAAAACAGAACTTGGTTATTATGTCCACTTCTTGTGATTTTTCAGAACTTTTTAAAGAGTTAATAAATGACACACCCATTAGGATGACTGTCAGGACAAAAAAAAACCAGAAATGTTGGAAAGATGTGGAAAAATTAGAACCTCTGTGCTCTATTAGTAGGAATATAAAATGGCTTAACCACTATGGAAAACAGAATGGAGATTCCTCAAAAATTTAAAGATAAAACTACCATTTGATCTAACAATCCTACTTCTGGGTACAAATCCCAAAGAATTTAGTGCAGAATTTCAGAGATAATTTGCACACACATGGTCAAAGCAGCCTTATTTACAATAGCCAAGAGGTGGAAGCAACATAAATATCCAATGAAGGATCAATGGCTAAACAAAATGTGGTATATAAATACAGTGGAGTATCAGTCAGACTTAAAAAAAGGAAATCCTGTCACATGCTACATCATGAATTAACCCTGAAGACATGAGTGAAATAAACCTGAATAAAGAGATAAATACTATATTCCAATCATCCGAGGCATCTGAAATGGTCAAAATCAGAACCAGAAAGCAGAGTGGCAGTTGCCAGTCGCTGGGGGGAGAGGTGCATAGGATTGCTGTTTACTGAGTATAGAGTTTTACATTTGCAAGATAAAAAAAAAAAAAAAAAAAAAAGTTCTAGAGACCTATTTCACAGCAGTGTAAGTATACTTAAAATTATTTAACTCTACACTTAAAAATGACTAAGACAATAATTCCAGGTTCTGCTTTTGACTATACAAAAAATATTTTATCACCACTAGACTATGTGATAAGCCACAAGTAAAGTAAGACTCATTCTTGAGACTGAGAAGTCACTGTATATTGTGTGCCATGTGTATATATAATTAATCTTTTTCTTTCCAGTAATGCCATTGGTCCCCTGGTAGCTTTGTGGCTGATTTATGAACATGGTGGAGTAATGCAAGAAGCAGCTACTCCTGTCTGGCTGCTGTTTTATGGAGGAGTTGGAATTTGTACAGGTCTCTGGGTTTGGGGAAGAAGAGTGATCCAGACCATGGGGAAAGACCTCACTCCAATCACACCTTCCAGGTGAGCCAACAGGTTGGGTTGACAGGGCTTGGCTGTTGAGGCCTGCTGTCAAGCCTGAGTTGGTGTCTGAGAGCACCCATGCTGCTTGTCCACCATCGATGATCACAAGTGAGGAAGGGGCAAAGGACAAGAGTGACCCCCTCTTCCACTTTTGTTCACCACTGGTCACCCCCCTCTGTGACCACACTCCCCTGACTCACCTACAGTGTCACTGAGATGTGGGTCAGAAAGGTTCAGAGGGAAGTAGTAGCTGAAGCAGAGCAGGAGGGAAGGGAAAATGGGAAGCCTGTGGCAGCCCCCAGTGTCCTTCCACTGTTGGTTTTCCCATTGTGAAACCCTGAGAGCAAGTGGAGAGTAAGGGTAGGGCAAACAGCACCAGTGTCTGGGCCCATCTTTCTCCAAAATTCCTTATGCACATCAGCTCTACCTGTTCTAGGGAAGCTATCATCAGAGCACATCAGGCTTCTTTTCTGTTTGATTTTCAGCACTATAACAAAATACCTGGAGAGGTAGCTTAGTAGGAGAGCACTTACCTAGCATGCATGAGACCCTGGGTTCAATCCCTAGCATCTAAAAACAAACCAAATACCTGAGATAACCAACTTAGAAAAGATTTATTTTGGATTGCAGATTTAGAGGTTCTAGTCCATCATAGGTTGGCCTCATTGCTTTGGACAGGTGGTGAGGCAGCACTCTGGCAGGAACATGTAGCAGAGAAAAACCACTCACCTCTCAAGCCAGAGAGAAAGAAAAAGCTGGGGTCTCAACATCTCTTTCAAGGGCACACCCCAGTGACCACTAGGTCCCATCTCCCAAAAGTTCTACCACTTCTCAATATACTATCCTGGTCATCAAGCCTTTAATGCATGGGTCTGTGGAAGACATTAAGGATCCAAAGTATAAACATCGATGCTGCTGTGTCAGTGTAGTACTCTGATTTTAAGTCCTTTGGGTATATACCAAGGAGTGGAATAAGTTGGTCAAATGATGGTTCCATTCCAAGTTTTCTGAGGAATCTCCATACTGCTTTCCATATTGGCTGCACCAATTTGCAGTCCCACCAGCAATGTATGAGTGTGCCTTTTCCCCCACATCCTCGCCAACATTTATTGTTACTGTCATTCTTGATAATTACCAGTGAGATGGAATCTCAGTGTAGTTTTAATTTGCATTTCTCTAATTGTTAGAGATATTAAAAAACGTTTTTTCATATATTTTTTGACCACTCATATTTCTTCTGTGAAGTGCCTGTTCAGTTCTTTTGCCCATTTATTGATTGGGTTCTTTGTTTTTTTGTTTTTTGGGGTGGGGGGGGGGTTTGGTATTAAGTTTTTTGAGTTCTTTATATATCCTGGAGATTAGTACTCTATCTGAGGTACAGGTGATAAAGATTTTCTCCCATTCTGTAGGTGCTCTGTTCATGGTCTTGATTATTTCCTTTGCTGTGAAGAAGCCTTTTAGGGGCTGGGGATGTGGCTCAAGTGGTAGCGCGCTTGCCTGGCATGCGTGCAGCCCGGGTTCGATCCTCAGCACCACATATAAAACAAAGATGTTGTGTACGCCGAAAACTAGAAAATGAATAATATTAAAGAATTCTCTCTCTCTCTCTCTAAAAAAAAAAAAGCCTTTTAGTTTGATACAATCCCATATATTGATTCTTGACTTTACTTCTTGTGCAATGTTTACAGCAGTTCAACTTATAATAGCCAAGCTATGGAACCAATCTAGGTGCCTACAACAGATGAATGGATTAAAAAAAAGACATGGTATATATATATACATAATGGAATATTACTCAGCCATAAAGAAGAATGAAATTATGGTATTTGCCAGTAAATGAATGGAATTGGAGAATATGATGCTAAGTGAAATAAGCCAACCCAAAAAAACCAAATGCCGAATGTGCTCTCTGATATGTTGATGCTAATTCGCAACAAGGGAGAATAGGGAGGGAAATATTAGAAGTTTATTGGATTAGACAAAGGGGAATGAAGGGAAGGGAAGAAAGATGGGAATGGGAAAGACAGGAGAATGAATCAGACATAACTTTCCTATCCTTATATATGAATACACAACCAGTGTAACTCCACATCATGTACAACCACAGGAAATGGGATCCTAATTAGAATAAGTCATATTCCACATATGTATAATGTGTCAAAATACAGTCTACTGTCATATATATCTAAAAAGACAACAACAAAAAGATCCAAAGTAGTGCCTTCCTTTCCTAAAAATTCTCCATCCACCCCAGCTCTCACTCACCATCCTTCTGTAGTTACCTTAGGCATCCTCCCTCTAGCTCAGCCAGATGGGATGTGCCCCTGCTATTCTGGGGCGGGGGTGGGAGGGGGGTCCGGAGCTTTACATGTGGTCGTTCTCTCATATAGCTTCTAGATATATAAGGGGTTAATTGACAAACTTAGAACTTTCAGAATACAACTACCTATTACAGGAAGTCTGCTCTTGTTTTAAAATGTACTAGAGCTCTTCATTTGCAATTTTTTTCTGATTTTCAGTTTACCCCTTGAGCTTCATTTTAACAAGATTCTTTTAGAAGGTTGCTTTGAAGAAACATTAATAATCTGTGAAAAAAATTGCTTTTTTGTAATAAGCACACATTTAAAAAATGAAAGCATAGTTTTTCTTATGCTCCTTTAGAAAAATGACTAATTTATCATCTTATTACACAGCACGAATTTCTGACCCAGTTCCTACAGTGTGGGGTTTTTGAAAACATATCAGAAAAAAAAGGCTGTTTGGGACTGTCAACAGTATAATGCAAAGTCTTAGTGTGAATTGTTGCCATTATGCAGCAGTTTCTTGTTCTGCTAATGGCAGTCTGTCCCAGTCAGCAGTCAACCAAAGAATGTTCTGGTGAGACTTTGCACCCACGGGGTGTCCGTGAGGCCAACAAAGAGCGCCTATGATATGTCTTCTTGTGCTCCCTCCTGCAGCGGCTTCACCATTGAACTGGCCTCGGCATTCACTGTGGTCATCGCCTCCAACATTGGGCTTCCTGTCAGCACCACACACTGCAAGGTAGGCCTCTGCCAGCAGAGGATTGTCCTTTCATGGGGCTGCTAGGATCAGCCCAGAGTCACCAAGTGAATTCCAGAAAAGCTGGTAGCTCTTTTTATATGTGATTGTGTGTGGGGTGGAAAAAAGCATCTCAGGGTTTGCCAGGTCTCCAGAAGCTTGTTGGATGTGCGTATTTGCTTTCCTCAAACTGACCCTTCTGACCAACCGTCTTTCCTGCTCTGTAGTACGGCACCTTTTACTGTTCAAACTTTGCTCTCTCAATGTGTGAATACAAGAACCTTCCTTCCTTACACATGGGCTTCACGCTTCTCTTTTAGCTTGTGCCTCCCTCATCGTTTCCACTCTGGATTTTGCATTAAGGTCATGTGTGTGCTAACCATGTGGCTCAAATAGGGCATGCCCTGAGTTCCAACTCATTGCTGGGTTCCAGGGCTTGACCATGGAAGTAGAAATAGAAATAAATAAATTATCTCAATGGCTGTGTCAGGGTTTTTCTCCTCCTATATCATGTTTAAAGTGACTATAAAGCCTTAGAGTAAGTTCCAAATGAACTTAAATTCCCAGTATGGACCCTTGCTGAGTGCTCTAAGACGCAGAGCTGAACAAGAGGGAATTCCTTGTCATGGTGGTCAAATGGAGCAGTGAGGAGTTTTAATTATTAATGAAGAAGAAATAGACTCCATGAGTTTCGGGAGATTATCTAAAGTCAAGCAGGGAGAACCAGAACTAGAATACAGTTACGATAGCCTAAGTCTGCCCAGAATCTGAAGATAATTCCAAAATATCCCCCATGAGCCTTCTGTATGCAGAAATACTCACTACCCTCAACAAAGCAAAAGCCACTTCTAGATTTTTCCCTAGTTTCATTTATTCATATCATTCAAGAAAAGCTCATTTGTACTTGCCATGCTCTGGGCTCCTAGGGGAATACAGCAGCCATAAGATAGGCATGGTTATCTACATTTACCTATAACTTTAAAATTCCAGCCAATATGTTTATAAACAAATGCCAGTTAAATGCAAATGACTTTGTACTTCAAACGTTTAGATAGGGTGGCATTTATAAGAGTATTCTAAGTGGGCTGGCACATTTAAGACAAAGCTGGGACATGTGGCTTGAAGAGTCAGCCTCAGTGGAAAGAAGTTTCTTGGTTTTTTTTCCTTTTTTTGCTACAATTAGAAAAACCTCAATTTTTATAAATTCTCACTATAAAAATCACTTCCACTTACCAAGTATATGCAGAATTCCAGGCCCTGTGCTTAGTGCTTTATTCCTGCACAATACAACATTAACTTCCCATAGTAACCCTGTGAAATTAGTAGTTATTCCCAGTTTATAGATGAGAAAACTGAGGCCTCCGGAGTTAGGTCACTTTCCAAAAATCATAGAGTTATCGTGTGATAGAACCAGGATTCAAATCTTCATCTCATGCTATGTACCTCCTAATTGTAGTCACGATAGTCATTGTCATGGTAACCAACCCATGACTAACGTGTAGGGCAAGTCTTTGCTGGGTACTCTTTGGAGTGTACCCAAAGAGATAAAATATTAATTCATTTTATCTTCCCAAGAACTTTAAATATATATATATAGAGAGAGAGAGACACAGTGCCTTTATTTTATTTTTTTATATGGTGCTGAGGATCAAACCCAGAGCCTTCCACATGCGAGGAAAGCACCCTTCCACTGAGCTACAACCCCAGCCCTTCCCAAGAACCTTTTGAAGTGGATACTAAGATTTCTCCAGTTTCACATATGTGGAAACCAGGGCTTAGAAAGGTTAAGTAATGTGCCCAAGGCTGCACAAGCAAGGAATGGTCACACTGAGGTATCAACGTAGGCTGTGTGGTTCCAAGCCCTGCTCCCCAATTCTCTGCTCTTGCCTCTTCAGGATAAGGGAGAGGACAGGGATAGGTGTGAGGTGCTCCTATCAATCATCATTGTTATTTTTCTAATTTTGATTATTTAAAAAATTATCAAAGGGACTGGGGTTGTAGCTCAGTGGTAGAGCACTCACCTAGCATACATGAGGCCCTGGGTTCCATCCCTAGTACCACAGTATATAAAAATAAGAATCACTAAAGAAGTACATATTTATTGAAATATTTCAAATAATGTGAAACTATGAACGAAAAGTGGCCATCAGAAGACTGAGGCAGAAGAATTGCAAGTTTGAGGCCAGCCTCAGGAAGACCCTGCCTCAAAATAAAAAATAAAAAGGGCTGGGATATGGCTCAGTGGCAGAGGGAGTGACCCTGTGTGCAATCCCCAATACTTACAAAAAAACAAAAAAGGACCATCTTCTTCCCCCTGTTGTACCTCACTTCAATTCTCCATTTCACTATGTGGGAACATAGAAAAAAATACATATTGTTTTCCAAGTTTTTTTCCAAGGCTTTTACTTTTTTATGTTTTTATTGGTACATTATAATTATACACAATAGTAGGAGTCATTGTGAGTTATTCATCAATTTCAATCCCAGTGTGCCCAAGTACTCTTGCCTGCCCCCACCCTCCAATCCCCTTCTTCTACTCTCCTGGTTTCCCTTCAATGGGTGCATTATAATTATACGTAAAAGTGGGATTCATTGTGATATATTTGTACATGCACATAGCATAAAGGATAATGTAGCAATAGTTGGCTCTTTGAAAATATTAACAAGTTTGTTAAACCCTTAAACTTTTTAACTTTTCTGTAGGCATAAATAATCACTGTCTTTTTAATGGTTAACTGCACTTTAGCAACCTTTTAAAAGCATACTCTCACACTAGTTGAAATATCTCTTAAAAAAAAAAAAATAAACAGCACCAGTTTGGTTTTCCTAGGTAACTGTTACTTACCTAACTACATTAGCATTTACACTAATGTGTAAAGTATTATAACTGATAATACTGACTTTGCTAGTAACACTAAAATCTAGAACACAACTTCTAGAAATAGATGAAAAGTATAAAATGCCTTTAAAAAGTAATCTATTCATTTTTATCTTTTAATATTATTTCTCCAGTATTTATATTTACACTATAATAAAGAGATGTTATTAAGGGATTTATATCCAGTTTGTACAGGACCTTTGTGAAGAATATGTTATTGTTGACCTAAAGTAGCCATACAAAGCATTTGATAAGTTTTGTGTCTGTGGGATGTGATTCTTGTTGGCACCTAAAGCAAGTCTTCTTCTCATTGGACCACAGTGGGATGTCATCAGTGAAATGGACAAGACAGAGCTCAACTTGGATTCTTGTCAGTTTGTTCAGTGTCATTGATCATGGACTTCTGGACAAAGACCAGAGCTAGTCACTTTAGGAGGCACAAGTAGAGTCCTGGCTCATGAGAACATACAGGGCTGTGGGAGAGCAAACCACTCTCATCAAGTCCAGATAACAGAAGTGCAAGGAAGAGGTCACAGCTGCCATCGCCCTATAACACTTACTCTCTTAGATCGCATATTTCCTGTGCATGCAACAATCCCCAAATGGCAAACGTGGGATGAAGTATGAGAGATGTGGGATGGTATTAAGAATGGGGCCTGTGTGGGGGGAGCCATGAGTCCGTACACATTCAGAGGGTGTTGATGTCCACATAAAATCATAACCAGATTGCATCCAATTTTCAAGAGTAATTATCCTGCATTTGATTTTTAAGTTTCTTACTTGGAGCCATCCATTTGAAGGTGGACAAACGTAGGGAAATTGGCAGGAAAAAAGATGGAAACTCTTTTTTTAAATGAGCTCTTGAGTTTATCTGGGTAGATTTCATTTATTCATACTTTCACCTAAGGGAACATAATTTAGTGCATAGTTTAAATTTTGACATAACCTATTTAAAATGTTTTGTGATATGAATGTTAGCTGAATGTTTAATTCAGAAAAGAACAAATAGAAAAAGTGTATCACATTTTATTTCAAAAGCACATATAAAACAATCTGCTTTGATTATAGATTTTGCTCTCTAGAAGCATTTACATTTTATACATTTTTGTGTTTCATATCAGAGGGCTCAGCTTACTAGATATTTTCCTGGGGTAAAACCTCTGAGTAAGGTCAAAAGCTTGGGGTTGTGGTTCAGTGGTAGAGTGCTCGTCTAGCATGCGTGAGGCACTGGGTTCTATCCCCAGTACCACGTAAAAATAAATAAATAAATAAATAAAGGCATTGTGTCCATCTACAACTAAAAAAAATTTTTTAAAAGAAAATCTGGGGCCCTTTAAAAAAAAAAAGTCTTCATTAAAGAAATATAAACTAGTCTTTGAAATAAAAGTATCCTGAAATATTCAGCAATTCGTTAATTGTTCACTTCTGTGAACCTTAATCCACTTTGATCTTTAGCTCTAAAGCATAACGCATACCACATTAAGACCATTGCTGAACACAAACACTTGTTTGTGAGCTTTCTGATAGGAATTCTGAATGGTCTTATTTAAAATTTTTTAATTCCATAGTGGGCTGGATTGAGATTACTGTCATTTGTGAATTATCCACATTGTCAACCTGTTAGTGACATAGATGATTTCAACTGGTGTTAGGATTTAGAACAGCATATAAGAAATCCTAAGGATTTAAAAATTTAGAATTACAATTTCTAATTTAATCTCTGATTTTGCTCTCTGTTTTCCCTACTCCTTAATAGTTCTGCTATTGGTTTTATGATGATGATCTTAAGCTGGACCCATATTTAATTTATTAAAAGGCAAGTTAGAATACAGAAAAAAATGTTCTTTTATATCAACAAAAGACACAATCAGTAGTGATGACATAATACTGTGGAACTTTTATGAGCCAAATAACATATAACAACTAAATCATGTACATTAAGTGAAACTGTCACAACTTAGACATTAGTATGTCCAATTCTATAACAAATGAAGCAGAGGAAAAAGTACTGAGGGGTAAAAAAGGACTTACACAGTATAATTACCAGCTGTATATCAAATTGGTACCCTACTAATCATAGGCTTTCTTATTGGGTATCATGAAAATGAATCATAAATTCAGAAGACTATTGACAAAATTTTAAAAATAGAAGTTGTATTAACTAACTACAACCTCTAATCACAGTGTGTCAAGCTAGAAATTAAGTAAATATTGGAATAAGAATGTATCCCTTGGAGCTGGATGCAGTGGCACGTGCCTATAACTGCCATTAACTCAGGAGGCTGAGCCAGGAGGCTGAGGCAGGGAGATTAAAAGTTTGAGGGCAGCCCCAGCAATTTAGTGAGACCCTGTCTCAAAATAAAAAGTAGAAGGGGCGAGGAATGTAGCTCAGTGGTAGAGCTCCCTTGGGCTCAATCCCCAGTACTATACACACACACACACACACACACAGAGATGTCCCCTTGAACAGTTTTTAATGCTTTTTAAAGTAACAATTGAATCAAGGAGTTTTAAAAACAATACAGTGACAGCTTTCTTGGAAAATACTAAAAACTCTGTGCATGTGTGTTTCTGTGTGTACACATAGCAAAACCTGTGGCAACTGAACCTCCACTAAAATGAAAATGCCTATCTTTAAATGGTTCAGTTTATCAAAGGAAAAATAAAATAAGCAAATATTTCAAATTAGGATTTTATAAAAAGTCCACAACAATAAAAATTCTGAAGAAAGATATAAGAGTATAACCAATTAAAACAAATTTAAAAATTAAAAAAAAAGATGGTCAACTGAAAAAAAGAAAGATTTAAGAAGTATTTAAAGCAAATTTTTTTAAATAGTGAAGAAGGAGATAGAGTGGTTACTAATAAAATTTATCAAATCACATCAAAGGAAAACAAAGGAAGAGGAGTTAAGTTAAAAGGAGAAAAGACATTGTACGAACAGATATAGAGAATTTGGTGTTTTTTCTTGAAATGGTGTTACTATGTTGCCAAGGTTGGCCTTGAACTTCTGGGCTCAAGCAATCCTCCCACCTCAGCCTCCCAAGCAGCTAGGACTCCAGGTGTGCTCTACCCTGTCCAGCTTGAAGAGAATTTTTTTTTTTTATCATGAAAGGAACCACACAGCTATATCTGAAGGATCTGAAAACCAATGTGAAATGAGTTAGCTTTTGCAAAATGTACATGACAAAAAAATACTGACATAAGAGGTAGAAAAATGTAGAGAAACCTGACCAGAGCAATAGAATGAAAATAAGTGAGTTCTCCAAAAACAGTTATCCTCCCCAAAAGAGCAAAAAGAATGTGGCACTTCTGACTCCTGTTCTAATTCATCATTTCTATTAAAAAAATAATAATAGATAATTCCATTATCATATAAATTTTCCACAGTGTAGAAGGAAAAAAAAAAGCAAAACAAAACTAGAATATTTCCAGTTTATTCTATAAAGCATACACTGAATAACCCTAATTCTGAAAATCTAACTTAAAATATCACAAACAATTGTGAAAATTCAGCAAATTGTGGTAAAATGTAAGAATATAGGGAACATAAAATGTATTGCTTTAATCATTTTAAGTGTAAAACTGTGTGTCAGTGAGTACATTCACACTGTTGTACACCTGCTGCCCAGTACATTGTCTACCTGAGTACTTTCTGTATGTATATCATTAAGTAAAAAACAAACAAATCCACCCACAAAAAAAAATCACAAAAAACCTGTCTTCACCTATGAATATTGATTTAAAACTTTAGGATGTTAATAAATGACATCAAAAGAACATTTCAGCACTTGTAAGTAGAACCTTCTGGATTATCAGGAAGTAGGCTCTGTGAATTCTCTATCTCTGTGGGGCCTGACCTCACAGGGGATCCACAGAAATGTGCTGAGTTCCAGGGAAGGTAAGAGGACATCTAGAGTAAAAAGCCCAAGCCCAAGAGAAAGATAAAAAATCTAGAGCTTATCATCATAGCCAGTTAGAAAAGATAACGGAAATTAAAAGGGAAAAAAAAAATTCCTCCATGATTTCAGGGGGGGAAAAAGTCATTTTAGAATAATCCTAGTAAGAAATGTGAATGATGTATATGCAAAAGGCCTAAGTCTTTGCTTAGAGATATGAAAGAAAACCAGAATATGAGACATACTGTGAGATGGGATGGGGGAAACTAGGTTTTATAAAGATATCTCCAACATACCCGCCCCCGCCCACAGAATTTTTCTTGGTACTTTACAAAATGGGATTATTTGGGGTAGGATAAATTATCAGGAGTATCAAATGGTGTAAAAAGAGAAGTGATGAGGAGAGACTAATGGTATGTGTTCTAAGGAAATATGAGTTAAAAGTAGGTGCTGGGGAAAAGGATCTCTTCTCCCTTTTTCTTCCCTATTATTTAAAATTTAGTTTCCTTTTATGTTTCTTACGTTGTTACTGTTTCCGTAGTGTTTAGTGAGTACTAAGTTTCAATTTGGGGTGATGAAAATGGTCTGGAGGTGGATGGTGGTGAAGGTTGCACAACAATCAGATGTACTTAAATGCCTTTAAAAATAGTTAAAATGGTAAGTTTTATGTTATGCATATTTTATCACAATATTTTTAAAAATATATATTTGTATAAGAACAGATGAAACCTATCATATATGAGCATGTTTATAGGAGGAAAAAATTTAACCAGTAAGTGACATTGAGTAGCTAGAAAAACAAAATTAGACCCACAGCTCTCCAATTACATGAACATAAATTGATGGCTTTAAATAATATTTTAAGAATATTATTAAATTTAGAATAAAATAGAAAAATTTTATTTTAGAAAATTTAGAATAAAGTAGAATTAGGTATTTGTGAAATATTCAAACTAAGGATAAATCACAGAATAAAAGTATAACATATTTAATTGCATGAAACTGAAAATTCCAAAATGAAGCAAAGCAAAATTCCTAGATTGAGAAAGTATTTATATTAGATATCACAGTTAATATTATTATTCAATAACATTCACACATAAATAAATAAAGGGCACACTAGATTCCAGTATGTTAAATGGGCAAAATACATGAAAAAAAAACAACTTTTATATGTTAAAAACTAGAAGGAATGAAATTGGGTAACTACACAAAAGAAAGTTCAACTGGCACAGAGGTGTACACCTATAATCCCAGCAACTAGGGAAACTGAGGCACAGATCACAAGTTGGAGTCTCTAGTCTCAGCAATTTAGCAAAGCCCTAAGCAACTTTATAAGACCCTGTCTCAAAAAAGCAAAAGCCCTGGGGATGTAGCTCAATGGTAAAGTGCCCCTGGGTTCAATCCCCAGTCTTAAAAAAAAAATGAAGTTCAGCCTTAGTTGTGATTAAAGATATGCAAACTGGGCTGAAGATTAACTGCCTTTAAATATGCTAGTTTTTTGGTTTCCAGTTTGCTTTCATCTTAAGTTCTATTTTATTTTTCTGTAGTTAAATTACTCATGCTTTAAATCACCTTTCCTGTTTGAATCTCATTGGCCACTGTTAAGTGTTTGGAGATTAATAGAGACAAAGCATATTTTATGTAGTTCTTTAAAATCCAACTTGCATGTGACCAAGGGGCACCCTATTAAACTCTCAGCATAATCAGTCCCCCTGTGAGGCATGAGATATTAAAAGCATTGTATTTTCTTAGGATTTTCATTTTCTAGGATAACGTTATCTTTTTTTTTCTTTCAAAAATTTCAACAAGCTATAAATGAACTTTGAGTGTTTTTGAAAAATACTCGAATTAATATTAACATTCTAATTTGCACATGTCCATATCTGTCACCTTATGAGTCATAGTTGATAGTTTAGATTCAATAATATTTATGTGAATTGTAGTTGAAAAAGTACATCACAACTATATATGGAATGGAATAATCCTAAAACAATTGTGCCTAACAAACATTTAACAAACTTAGGGGAAATAATTGTCAATTTTATAATGTAGTTTATTTCTGTGCTTAGCCTATTTACATTGGTTAAATGTAAATTTTGTGTCTCACCTTTAAATACAGGGGCCTCGTTTTTACTTTTAAATGTTTGTGCTTCTGCAGGTGGGTTCCGTGGTGGCTGTGGGCTGGATCCGCTCCCGAAAGGCCGTGGACTGGCGCCTCTTCCGTAATATCTTTGTGGCCTGGTTTGTGACTGTCCCAGTGGCTGGGTTATTCAGTGCTGCTATCATGGCTCTTCTCATATATGGGATCCTTCCATATGTGTGATTTGTCTTCTTCCAACCAGTAAACTAAAGGGATAGTCTAGCATGGGTATGTGGAAGGTGTTCCCTCATATCTCTCTCTCCACCCCTCTCCCTCCCTCCCCCGCCCCCGACACACACACATCCCAACCACACACAGCTGTCTCCCAACCAGCTCTCCACATCCTTTTCAAATGGTTCCAGACCACACACCTCACCCAGGCTGCAGAAATTCATCTTCCAGAGCTAACTTAACTACTGTACATAGTAATATGTATTAAACTGTTATCGTGGTGATATAATGTGGTGCAGTTACTTATATATTAAATATATATTGTATACATAGAATAGGTAGCATTATTTCAAACATTCAAAATGGGAGTGGAGGTTATTGCCTAGAATTCAATATTCAATAAATCTTGTATATAATGATTTCTGTGGCAAATGTTAAGGCTTTTTCAAAAGAAAGTATAGATTGGAAAATCTTTTTTTGCCCCCCTCCATGATACTTTCTTCTTTAATATACTGTAAGATAAATGAGATACAAGATACACAATACAAATTTGGGCAGGTGTACATAGGCCCACATGTGATTAAATAATACCAGGACAGAGTTCACAAGTGCTTTCACTGAAGTATTTGTTCATATACTATGTATGGATTATTGTGTAATATATCATAATTACTTTTGTAAATACTTAAAACTGTAATTTTTTAATGGTGTGCTTCCCTTATACTTTTTTGATCAGAGAATTTTGGAAAGTACCAAAGAAGCAGGGGAATAGTTTGCCAGTATTATTTTTTCACGTTGTTTGTACCCCTCCTCATTAACCTGGATGTAGTAAGACCACCCAAGCTCTGACTTGCCCCAGAGCATTGTGTGTGGTTGAGACACCAGCGCCCATCCTGTTCATATTACTCTTGGATTCCCCACCCCACCAGCACCACCACTGCTGCCACATACCAGATACTGGTCAGCCCTGCAGTGGCCTTTCATTGTCACCAGCGTGGAGAATGTACAGATGTAAGGATGTGTAACTAGACACTACACATCAAGTCCAGTTTAAATTTCCATCCCTGTTCTCCCCTGCAGCTTGAAAAAAAGGGATTGTCTCAAACTTTAAAGCCAGTGAGGCTTTTTTATGTGCTTTGACATTCTAGAAATTCAGGGGCTGGAGTTGAATACTAAAGGTACACTGGGTGTGAGGATTTCCTTGAGGCCTTTACTAAGTGGGAGATCCTGATGCTCTCTTGTAGTCCCACTGGATTCTCTTCTCTTTTGATAGCGGGAGGAAGTATGACTAATGTTAGAGCCTGAAACTATGGAAATGCTGCTAAAATTTTTATATTGACAAACATTTTCTCGGTACTTCATTGTGATTTTTCATTAATCAACCATATTAAATTTATAATAAAAAAATGCCCCTCAAAAGTTTGCTTCTGAAGTCTTTTTCTGAATAGCTACAAAATGTTTATCTTTCAGAGTTTCCACAAAAATAAAAGCTATATAATTTGGCCTCTTAGTTTTCAGATACATTTTCTCCCCTATTTTACTACCCTTACATGTTATGCAGAAAATACACAGGAACGAGAAAAGGAAAGAATGGCATACACAGCCAGGATTCAGAAATCCCTACTGGAAACACATACATATTGGAGCTGTCTGACCACAAGGTTTGTCCCTGGATCAGGACTTTGCTAAAGGAAGTACCCCTCTTCCTGCTCAGCCTCTCCAGCTTGGCTCATAAGTTAGCCATACTTCCAGGCTAAGGGCCAGCAGGTAAGTGCAGATCCTATCTATCTGGGCACAAGCAGCCAACAACAACAAAACACCTGAGGCTTCAGAGGAAAATATCCCCCTTAATATTCTGCAGCAGCAGCAGCAGCCAAAAGCTGCCTTCCCTTCAGGAGCTAAGGAGGTAGCAGATGAACAACACTGGCCAGGTGTGAACACTCCATCTCCACAAAGAAATCTAGTCCTCCAACTCTGTTTTTTGAGATGGCGTCTTACTCTGTAGCCCAGGTTGGCCTCTAATTTCTGAGCTCAGGTGATCGCCTACAGGAGCATGCCCCCATGCTGAATCACTGATTTTTTTAAGTCACCTGATGCCTTTCATTTTCCCACTTTTGATAAAGATTTTGATAAAGAAAGTGCAATATGTTCCAAAATCTATAACAAATAGCAACACAACACAATGCAAGCAATACTGCACAGACCAGTCTGCTGGATGCAGGCAGTAGATCCTTTCTAGTTTGCAGCCCCTGTCCTTGGAGAACTGCCACCTGAGTCCTGACGCAGCTCCAAGTAGGTGGGTGGCAGAGGCAGATTTCCAGCAAGTGAATGGGGACAAAGGTCACGCCTCACCAGCAATGTTTTGAGAGAAGCCTTGCACACTACACCCCCTTTCCCAGGTTTTATTATCTGACAAACAGATGGTTTAGCCACTTGACAACTGAACCCCCTAGAAGAAGGGAAAAGTCCACTCTAACCCAGACTCGTCCCCCTCAAGTCATAGAACAGCAAATGCTCTGGTGGGTGGTGGAAGGGGCCCGTCAGGCCACGGGATGGGGAAGCAGATGCCCTGATTAGCCAACTGGTGATGATAGGTTAATGTGGTCAGGTAGAGGGTAAGTTATGTCACAGGGGCGGGGGGGGATGCTGGTAGAAGGCTCTGGTGGGCCAGTAGCCTACAGTTATCCCCGAGAGTCTTTCCTCAGAGTTCACCAGCCTCTCCCTTTAATAATACACTCTAAGAAAACACATGAATCACTGGCATCTTAGTGTGTGTTCTAGACAGCTTTCCTACACCGAAGAGAACAGCCTGGAGCAGACAGAAGAGCCCTACATAGGGAGGAAGGACCCTGGAGACTCTTGCCCAGTGTCTGGGCTCCCCAGGGGCAGAGCTGGGATACTATTAAAAGCAGCTGAAACTCCTTGGACAGTTGTCTTTTTCTTTGATTTCTGCCTTCCAGAGGGACTGAACTTGTGAGCAACTATCTAATATCTTCAGCGAGGTAATTTTTTAAATAAATCCTTCCTCCTCCACTTCCTAAGCTACAGCATTAAGCTTCAGAATTCTCAAGTAGTAGAAGAAAAAAAAATTAAATCCTATAGTTTGGAAAATAAAATGTAAAGATCAGTGTCATCAATGATTTTACTCGATTATAAAGCAGAGCCAGGAAAAGGCACTTTAAGAATTTAGACTACACACTGGGGCTGGGGTTGTGGCTCAGTGGTAAAGCGCTTGCCTAGCACATATGAGGCACTGGGTTCAATCCTCAGCACCACATAAAAATAAATAAAGACATTGTGTTCGTCTACAACTTAAAAATTAAAAAAAAAAAGGATGATTACGCAGTGTTTTGCTGTTCTAAAATGAGATTGTATCCAGAATCTGCTTACCTGTGGGAGACCAAATTTGCCTGTTACCTTATAGTGATCCTGGAGGAGCAGCTCCTGGAGTCAGGCAAAACTGAATTCAGATTTCAGCTCCTGCTTATTGCAATGACTTTGGGCAACTTCCTTAGTCTCTTGTTAGCTCCAGCTTCATATGCAAAATGTGTACATTGAGACCATCTCACAAGATTGTATATTGAAGGGCTTGGCCCAGAACAAGGACTCTATGAACTAGTGCTTGTTTTCCTTTCCTGTACTTGAAGCCTTTATTCATTACTTTTCTTTTTTCTTTTTTTGAGATGGGAGGGTGTCTATCTTGCCCAGGCTGACCTCCAACTAGTGGACTCCTGCCTCAGCTTCCTGAATAGAATTCTGGGAGTGTTCCATACCTGATCTCACCACCTCAATTTTTTTTTTTTTTTTTTTGTACTAGAGATTGAACCCAGGGGAGCTTTGCCACTAGGCTACATCCCCAATCCTTTATATTCTTTATTTTGAGAGAGGATCTCACTAAGTTGCTGAGGGTGTAAGTTGCTGAGGCTGGTCTTGAACTTTAGATTCTCCTGCCTCAACCTCCTGAATAGCTAGGATTACAAGTGCTGTGAGCACCACCACAACCAATCTCACTGCTTCAATTTTTTTTTTGAACAATTCCCTCAGAACTCCTCTGAGAACACTGAAATGGGTGTTGGAAACAGCTAGCTAAACAAGACAAAACTGCCTACAGACTAAAAGAAAGTGGAATGTGGGTTATTTGCTTGCTTGATGGGAAAAAAAAAAAATGGGTGAGACCTATACAATGTGGTTAAATAAATAGGAAATGTAACCCTACACTTGAATTTTCACCCTCATATTTCTATAATATATCATCCTTTACTCTCAAAAAAGCAACAAAACAACCTGAAGCATATTATGAAAAAAAGAAAAAAAAAATCCCCACTACACCATCATCCCACCTCCATCCTTTTTGAAACATTTTCATTTCCCTTATTTTATTTGGTCTTTGAAACACCTGGACCTGGCCAGGCACTGGGGAAATGAAGGCACAGAATGAGAAAACATTTAGGTAGCCAAATGGTAACAGGGATGGAGAAGACCCCAGGATTCCTGACCCTTATCTCAGTCTCTTCCAATTTAGCGGCTGTCAGACTGTCCTCCACTGCAGTCTCCATAAAAAGGAGGACTGTGCAAAAAAGCAAACTCTATTTGTTGGCGGTTCATTGATTGTAACAAATGTGCTATATTAATACACTCTGTTAATAATAGGAATGCTAGAGTAAGGGGCTGAGGAAGGGAACAAATATGTGGGAATATTGTTACTTTCTGTTCAGATTTCTGTAAAACTAAAGCTGCTCTAAAAAATCAGGATTATTAATTTTTAAAGGATACGTGTTTATAACAAAGATAAAAAATGTAAACAAACAAAAAAGTCTAGATCTAGAAGGAAGATTTAGAGAAGGAACACTGACCAGTGATTAAGAACTTGAAAAGGAAGTCTAGGAAGAAAAGGAAGGGGTTTGTTCTGCCTGTTTCTATGAAGGAAATATGAGGAATTAAATATGATTTTAAGGAAAGCGTTCTCCAAGATATTGAGAACAACCAACAGTTCTCCATGTGGCAAGATCTAAACCTACTTAAAAAGCAAAAGGGATTTTGGCCAGAGCAGAATGAACAATTTTCTTGCCTTTCCCCAGATTTGCCGCATAAGTTTAAACTAAACCCTGAATTTAAGAGATTCCAAACCATGAGTTGATAGGGAAGGGGCAAGGATTGAACGACTCCAAAGACAGAAAGCACCACCCAGGTAACCAGAGCGACACCTAGTGGCGTCAAGTTTAATTACAACTATGACTATCTTTTCAGACCCTTTAAAATTGCAGCAGGTAAGTCGTCTCACAGT